CTCACCTCAACCCCTCCAGTGCTGCCTGGTGACCCCCAGTCTCTCTCCCAGGGTCCACCCACACCAGCAGCATCTGGAGACCACCTACCAATCTCTGATGTGTTCCCCACCCACCGCCTAACTGTGGTGGAGCCAACGGGGGCAGAGCTCAGACCCTGCATGGTGCCCCTGGGTCTGCACCTCGTCAGACTCTGCCACAGTCTGTCCCACTCAGGAACTTCTTCCTTGCTACGCTATGCCATCCTCCCCGTTGGCCCTGTCATCTCTGCCACCTCAGGCTCTCAGCACCTTCCCGAACTGGCCCCATGCAGCCTCCCCTAATAACCTCACCTGTCCAGGATCCAGCCCCACAGGATCTCCAGCCTGAGTCTTCTGGAGGAGGGGAAGGGCGTCTCCAGCCAGCAGACAGGAAGGTGGGGTGCAGTCACTTTGCATCTCCCGAGCCATCACTGGACACTGGACAGGCTGGTGGACTGCCCCGTGGCCTCTTTCGTCAGCCACCTCCAAGGATGGAAGGTGGAAGAATGTCCTCAAGCTAGCAAGGACCTGGGCAAAGGGAATCCAGAGTTGCTTGTGTATAGACCATGGGGCTGTGATGGGCAGGAGGTGGCCCGTGGCAGGCAGGGAGCCCGCACCTTCATGTGCTCTTCATGGGTTCTCCCCATGGCCTGGGGGCTGGATCTTCCATCACTCCCACTTTCAGGGTCGCAGTGGTCTCCTTCCTGAAATTGTACCGTGAGAGAGGGGTTGGGCAGAAAGTCCATGCCAGGGCCTTCTGTCTGAGGCCAACACCCCTGCTGGCCCTGCCTGTGCTGACAGGAGCATCTTGACCTCACAGCAGAAACACGAAGGCTTATGAGGCCACGACTCAGACTCAGCACATGTGAGCACCTTCCTTGTGTGGGGACCACGCTCAGGACTGGGGATACAGGGGGTAACAAAATGAGGCTGTCTGCTTTCAGGTTGCCCAGTGTCATGGGGAAGGGAGACAGTAATCAGGCGGACCCACAAACGCATTTGTGGTTACAATGGTGATAGGACAGTGAAGAAGACAGGGGGGGTCCTAGCTAGTGTGGGGCCAGGAGGGCGCCCTGGAGGAGATGACTGAGCTGATGATGGGCAGGCCTAGCCAGGTGGCCGACACCCAGGGTGAGGAAGGAGCACACGCAGAGGCCCAGTGGCGTGAAGGAGATGGGCCAGTTCTGGCAACAGCCGAAGAGGAGGCGGTTTTAGAGCTGTGGGCATGGGCAGGTGAGGAGCCCCGTTCCTGGGACCGCAGCAGCTGATCGGGAGACGCAGGCCTGGCAGACCCCTTCCCCGGGAGCTGTGGAGTGGGGAGGAGCCCTGGATAGTCAGAGATCAGCACATCTGCATATAACAAAATGTCAACCTAGCAATGACTGGGAAAAAGAATGTGAAGTTCTTCTCTATCCTGTAAATAAGTCTGGATTCTCCGTGCCAAGATTAGGGCCCTGTCTCCGACTTTCTGCTCCATCACCCTCCCGTGGCTTCCACCCCTGAGGTGCCACATGAGGGGGACCAGCCATCACGTGCCCACTCCGTATCTGCAGGAGGAAGGAGAGGCGGCAGTGAAGGGGCTGCTGTCTCACTTCCAGATCCTCCTCAGAAATCCCACACAGCCCTTCTGCTCAAAACTTAGTCACGTGACCACACCAGGGCTCAAGGGAGCCGAGAGCCTGGTCTTCTTGGGATGGGTGCGTGGCTCCGTAAGGAAGAGGAAGAGGGTGTGTGCACTGAGATGACAGGAGCCGCCTGAACAACTGCCAACCCCCTACTGGCGTGTCCCCGACAAACTCATCTGATGGTCCGCAGACGAATTCCTGGGCAGGAGGCAGGTTCCCTCCTGCAGGGATTGGGGGACACAGGCCCTTCATCCTCGGGGTCCTCCCTCCTCTGGGCCAGGCCTAGACTTGTCCTCTGACTTGCTTTCACAGCAGACACCCCAAGGAGTCCACTGGGTGGTTCAGGTTCTCCATCTCTCTCTGTTTTTTCCTTGTTTTGTCTTGTTTTACAGTAGTAAAGATATTGATCTGGGTGAAGGGCTGTGGTCTGTCGATGGTCCCGACTGTAAACCATTCGTTACACACTTGTATTCATTACACATGTTTAGCACTGACTGCGAGGGAAGCAAGATGCTAGGACCCTGGAGGACACAACAGAATGAGACACGACTTTGACCTGCAGTGGTCTGCGAGGGGGCCTCCCACCCAGGCCGCGCACCGTTCCAGCTCCACTAGACGGAGAGCGGGGAGCGCCTTACCTGGAGGCAGGCTGTTCCCTGAACCGGGCGACTCGCCATGGCTCCAGAGGGATGCCACGCAGACGTTCTCAGGCTTGGCGACACCACCACCACCGTTTCTGTAGATTCTTGTGTGCCCAGCACGAACTGCAGGCTGGACCACAGCACCTTTGCGTTTGCAACTTATTTTTCCGCTCATTTGAGGGACCTATAAATTGTTTTCTAATGACCCTGAACCTGAATCTTAGAGCAAACTGAGAAGCACGAATTTCTTTTCTATGAGGTAAACAGCTAACTGAAGTGGAATTCTTCAGTTTCTGAAAGTTTTCTGTCTACGGTCGTCTTCACACCAATCCAGCGCTACACTTTTCCGTATTAGTAGTAATGCCTAAGCAAAACGCTCTGAGATCATCTATCAGTTTAGCAATAACCAAAACAGTTTTATTCTTAGTGAAATCAGCTTTAAAATCATTGAATTGGGGAATGTTCGTGATTGACTAATCTTCAAAACAAAATTTTAAATCTGTTGATGCGGTGAGCACACCCTCTGCTGGGAAGCTGCTCCCTTGATGATGTTGTTATATGAGACTCCGCCTTGCCAGCAGACATGCTCTAGCCTCCCTCCCGGACCGGCTTTGAAGAAGTACAAGAAAGCACACAGGAAGCACAAGGAAATGAATTGTGCAAACAACTGAACAGAGCTTGGAAGTGGATCCTTCCCCAAGCCAGCCACCAGATGGGACCCCAGCCCCAGCCGAGCGCAGCCTTCCAGAGGACGCGGTAAAGCCATGGCCAGACTCCGACCTACAGAAACTGTGAGGGAACACATGCGTGTGGTTTTAAGCTGCTAATTTTGTGGTAATTTGTTATGCACCAATAAAAAGCAGATACAGATTTTGGTACTAGAAGTGGGGCACTGCTGTCACAAATACCCAAATATGGAGAGGTAGCTTTGGAACTCCCACACAGCAATGTCATGGGGGCTGGAAAAATTTGAGGAAAATTTTGAGGAAAAAAGGAGGAAAAGAAGGTTGAAAATATAAAATTTCCCTATGATGTATAATTTTATAAATGTGAACGAGCACTTGTTGCTGAAGACAGAGGAACATGAAAATCTCAGGTCTGGTTTAAAACAGCGAACAGTTACAACTTGATGGACACAAACTATGCAAACAGCTGCAGGTGTCCCTGGGAGACCACTTACCATTTTTGTATCAATAAACTATTAATTTTTCTCAATTTTTAAATTGGCTTCAAACAGAATTAAAATGATGCTTCAGTTTCTAAAATTAATACTTAGTATTCCTAGTAAGGACAAGTTGATAATTCCTTAAGAGACAAAGAACAGGAATTGGACTCTCAATAAGATCAAGATATGTGGTCAATCTAACAGTTTTCTGAAAAAAAGTTTTTTTTTTTTTAACTTTTCATTAAGATTGATAGTTTACAACCTTGTGAAATTTCATCTGTACATTATTGTTTGTGAGTCGTGTTGTAGGTGCACCCCTTCACCATTTGTGCCCATCCCCAGCCCCCTTTCCCCTGGTAACCACTAATCTGTTCTCTTTGTCCACGTTTAAATTCCTCATATGAGTGGAGTCATGCAGAGATTGTCCTTCTCTATCTGGTTTATTTCACTTAACATAATTCCCTCAAGGTCCATCCGTGTTGTTGTGAATGAGATGATTTTGCTCTTTTCTATGGCTGAGTAGTATTCCATTGTATATATATACACCATATCTTCTTTATCCAATCATCAGTTGATGCCACTTAGGTTGCTTCCATGTCTTGGTTGTTGTAAACAATGCTGCAATGAACATAGGGGTGCATGGGTCTTGTGGAATTGCTGATTTCAAGTTCTTTGGATAGATACACAGTAGTGGGATGGCTGGGTCGTATGGTATTTCTATTTTTAACTTTTTGAGGAATCTCCATACTGTTTTCCATAGTGGCTGCACCAGTGTGCATTCCCACCAGCAGTGTATGAGGGATCCTTTTTCTCCACACCCTCTCCAACATTTGTCACTTTTTGTTTTGGTTATTTTTGCCATTCTAATGGGCGTAAGGTGATATCTTAGTGTAGTTTTAATTTGCATTTCCCTGATGATCAGTGATGAGGAGCATCTTTTCATGTGTTTATTGGCCATCCGTATATCTTCTTTAGAGAAACGTCTGTTCATGACCCCTTTTAAAAAACTAGTTAAAAAAAAAAAACACAAGTTAGGCACAGTGACATGGTAGGAAATGTCAGCAAGTACATTTAGGTGTTCAGGTGGCAGCTGGTATCAAAAAGACTTCTCAGTCCCTGGTACGTGAGGAGTGTGATGGGGAGGAGGTTGGGACCTCCTGCATGGCCTCTGCAGAACGCAGCAGGGAATCTGCTCAGCTGTGGAGCCAATGTAGGAGAGACAAGTGTTTCTTTGGTGGATTAAAAGCACCCAGAAATACTGGTTTTATAGCAGAGCCTCTCTTATTATTAAAAAAAATCAAAACTTTGAAAATGAGTTTGTGATAATGAGTTGTACTTTTCAAGACCTTCACTGGCAACCGACAAGTTAGACATACGTATTTGATTCGCATCTCCGTGCCTTGAAGGGTGCACACCCTGTACTACCACGTACACTTTCTCACCTGTAAAAAGACAGGCTGTTTCTACAACGCGAAGGAACGAGGTCTTCAGTGTCATGCGAATGTTACCTCTGCCTAAATACAGACAACACCGAAGTGATTCCACACACAATTCAAGTTTTAAACGCATGAACCATTTTTATTTCGCTATGCAGAAACGTACATTCGCCACGGGCTATGTGATGCAGTGGACAGTGTAATGGAGAATATATCTTCTTGAAGGCTATTTATAACTAAACGCTAAATAGTTTAATTACAGTGGAAATTCTGTACAGTTTAAGGCTTGGCTCTGAACTAGATTGTAAATATGGACCAGATTTGGAAATAAAACCTTTTTCAAGTAAAAGAAGAAAAACCAATGAAAAAATACAAGGAAGAGGAAACGAAGAAAGAAAACAAACCCTCAGAAACCCAATAGGTTGTCCTGGAGTGAAATCTCATAATATTGTAAACTAATAAAAATACAGATTTTCTTCCCAAAACAATGACAATTTCCGCATTCAGGACTTGTTAAGGAACTCCGGGAAGCTTTCCAGATTGAATGCAGACCAAAGTGGAGAAGGAAAAAAATCACATTAATATGCTAAAATCAGTACTACCTTTTAATGAATTAAATTAGGTACACAAAGCGGGACTGGAAGCATGAAATCTTTCTGGAGGATCAGAGTCATCGCTGTTCACGGGTAAGCAGTAAGAGCAGACGAAACGAGGACAAGATTCAAGTTGTTTCCTGAATAAATGCGGTTATTGGCACATCTAATCTGGAATAAACCTGACACACTGGAGCATTTCAGGGTAATCTTCATTTGTCTGTAAACAAAAGAGCTGTCACCTAAGAAATTGAAACTTTGCTTAGATTTTAATAGTAATGAGCTATGAAAGGCATGAACTGCTTATGTTACATGAGATCGCGGTGTCTACTGTCGGTTATGAACGTGCAGGAGTAGCTGAAAACTGAGACACTTGGTGAAAATTAAAAATGCTGCTCTTTTGTAACGTTACCATTGCTTCATGCAATATCAGTTTAGTGATGCTGATTTGGATTGTTTTATTAAGGGAAGATCTCTCTGCCAGTGTCTTTATTAAGGGTCAAGGTCAGGTCTTCCGGATGGAGTCTTCCGCGGGCAGATGAAGTCGGCGGGTCCGGGGGGCCTCCGGGCTCTGGCTCTCGCGGCTGGCGTGCCTGGACTCGTGCGCAGGCCGAGCTAGTCCTGGAGGACAGAGATCTGATCAGTGACTCATCGGGAACCACCTGCGAGTTTTCCTCAGCTCAAGGTCACACAAAAGAATCTTGCAGGTTATTAAATGCTCTTTTTGACAAGATACCATAACCTACGAGCGTGGTCACTGACGCTCGCTCTTTTAAGTAACAACTGCATCACCCAGGTGGCGAAAGCTCATGGAAGGAAATTGTTTTTGCTGTCTATCTTCCAAATTACATTATTTCGAACATAATAAGTTGTTTTCATATTTTTCTCTGCAAGAGAAGCCACTCATCAATCTATATTCCTTAAATCAGTGTTAGAGAACTTAGTCATTTCATTTACACATGTAAAGCGTTTCAGAGACTTTTATCACAGAGCCAAATGTGCAGGCAGCTGGACCGCTGTGCTCAGCGCTTAGAGCCCTCTAGGGGGCTCAGGCCCACGTGCGCTTGCGTGGCAGGTCAGTGCACGGCAAGTCTGCACACACACACAAGATGCTGGCCCAACAGCAGCGGGGAAGGCATGCGCTTTCTCGAGAAAAGCAGGACCACAAGACTGCATTTTTGCCTCCTCCTGAGACACAAAGCTACACCAAGCTTTTGGAAAAAAATCATCCAAAGAATACAGAAAATATAAGACGTCCAAAATGAAAGTGAGTGCTCAGGTTTCACATTAAAAAACATGGCAAAACCAAAGCATAAACAGCTTGTAAGCAAGCACGGTTGAGGAGAAAGCTTACGACGAGACAACGCTGCCGTCAAAGAGAAAGTGCTCTATTTTATTTCCCTGGTATTTAGAACACACAAATTGCACCTCTCAGAACAAAACGACCTTAGTTCTGAATAGGCCACACAGCAAGTGAAATCAAATTTGATATTTCAAATTTGGATAACGAAGAGTACAGGGCATGGGTAAAAGGGAACAGCAGTGACGCAAGCAAAGAGTCTGCTTTCTCTTTATCCTCTAACTGGCACAGCGTTTGCAAAAAGTACACAGAATAGAACCTCCAAATCTGAAACAAACTGGCACCCACAAACTAATTCCCTGTCCTCTTGGTAACCAGCCCGGCAGACGCCAGTGAGAGAAAAAGGCAAGACAGGACTCAGGTGAAGGAGGAGGGAAGTGCCCCACGCGACACGCCGGCCAAGCCCGGAGAACCCGCGGCCCGCTCACCTGGCGTCAGTCCTCGCCATCTTCTGGGGTGATCTCCGTCTCCTTGTGGACCACTACTTTGGTCACTGACATGTCAGGGTGCTGCTCTTTGGCCTCTTTAATTGCCTGAGCCAGAGCCTATCCCCAGGGAACCACAGAAGGACAAAGACAAAAAGGAGGTGGGACATGCGTGAGCGGCAGCAAGACTTAGGAGCTGGATCTACATACACCATTTACAAATGAGGCACAAGGATCGCAAAAGGATCAGACGGCGTCTACTGGAAAGTTACTTCAGAAACTTGTTTAGACTACATGCCGGACGAGAAGAATAGCATTGGGAAGAGCAGGGCCAACTCGGGTTTCTCTGCCAGAGAACGGGCTGTGCCACACACACTACCTGGTCATGGTCAATGTCCGCGTCTCCCGTGATGACGATGCGCTTCTCAATTCTCGTCTCTGAAATGCCTCCTTTCACAGTCTGAAAGTAACAGACGAGCATTATGAATCTCCTCACTTGGAGGAACGATCATTATTCAAGGGGGGAAATGGCAGAAAATGCTGACAGAGTTTTAAGTAAGATCATTCATTCTTTAAGAATTGAAAAAGAATTCTGTGGCAGTTATTTAAAACTGTTAATCTCAGAAGCAAGGACAGAATGGAGTCCTTTGGGTTTGGCTGGCTAGTGTTTCTGGAACACCTACTATATGCCAAGTCCTGGAGTTGAGTGTTAAGCAAAGGCTATTGGACGTGGAATGTATATTCCTAAACAGAAACTAGCACACGAGGACAAATGCACCATCACTACTGTGAAAGCTCCGAGGCATCATCCTGCATCATGACCTTCCTGGAACCACTGGCTTGCACAGCCCACCCTGGAAGATGTTGTGAGGGAGCGCCTCTCTCGCTCCGTTCCCATTCCACTTACTTTGGTGATATGGGTGGTGGTCGTGGTGCTGGTGGTTTCTGACGTGATCGTCTGTGCGCTCATCAGCACGCCCGGCTCCAGATCAGCACCAGGGTCAACCTAGGAAAGCAGAGGAACAGACAGCACCCTCCCATATTCGCACCACTCCTTCAGCTGCTCGTCCTGTCAGTTCAGGGCACTGCGATGACTGAGTGACCTCTCACCGTCCCTGTGCTGTTCCACCAGCCCTGGGGGCTGCTGCTGTGAGGAAGGACTGAACCAAACATGGCTGGAGCTGACCGTCATTAAACACTGGGACTTCCGCAATGTGAGCAGTGGCTGGCTGAGCTGACATTTTTCCTTATCTTCGGCTAGGGAAAGAGGTTCCTGAGCCTTTTTCTACATCTTGAGATATGTGAAGACCTGCTTAAGCCCCTGATGCTTCATGATCAGTCATAAAATTCCCATTACTGCACTGCTCCTGACGGAGGCAGCTGCTGGGCCCTCCGAGTCTCACACACGTCACGCAGCCACAGGTCAACGGACTGCGTCATCAGAGGGGTAAACAAAGGGCTGGGGCGGTGGGCTTCACAGACGCTCTTACCTGTGATGATTCATATGTTATGGTTTTTGTCTCTGTGTGAACCACCGGCACCTCCTTGGTAGAAATTTCAAGCTTTACTCCTCCTGGTAAAACACTGCCAAAGCTGATGATTTCTGTCTTCACAGCCGACGCCTGTACCCAGGGGAGGTAAGGAGGGGCTATTACAGTTTGCACAGACACACAGTTTGTTTTTTCTTCCCCTCTTGGTGGATATAAATAAGCACAGATTAGTATGAAATAAATGTTTACATATAACATGGGGGTAAGTTGAGGAATGGGGCACACAATAGACAGACGTCAAACAGTCCCTGAAAATTCCACAGCATCGTCTGCATGGAACGTTGCAGGTAAAGGAAAAAAAAAAAAACTTTTTACCTTGCCTCTCCTCTATCTCGTAAACTAATCTTAACAGTTTAAAAAGTCATAAATTAGCCTCTTATTAAATAACTTCTTGGAAAGAAGGAACGAGTAATAAGACATTAACCTCACATATACTTTAGGAATCTCAATAAAAGAAGATAAAGAACAAAGTTCTGGCATTTGTTATCTGGGCAAGTACGATTTTTGGTCCTTCTGGACAACTACACTGATCAGAAATAATTTATCAGATTTTCTAATATCTTCACTGGCCATGCATTCCATAGGTTATTGCCAATTACAATGAGAGCAGAAAGCATTTTCTGGAACAATACATTATGAATAACCATTATAAACATCTGCATGTGATCTCACAGCTGGAAACTACCTGATCGCCTTGCAGAAGGAAACACGAGGAGATGCACACTGCACCTGGAAAGGGTAGAGAGCTGAACATGGCTCCATCGTGAGGCTGAAGTAAACTTGAAGGAATCCCACCTAAGTTTTACTTTAGTGCTGAAAGCAACAGGACTAGTTACCTCAAAAGGAGGTTCCAAAGTTTCAGAAATATGGATTGCTGCACTCGGCTCCTCCTCTGGCTCGTGGGAAGCAGTGGCCATCTCTTCCGGTTTGAGGACAGCTTGATCGGCCACCTCCCCTTTTTCCTCCTTAGCCCCCTCCGTCAGAGCAGAACCATCCTTCCCTTTAGCACCAGAAGCATCAGCAGACGCCACCTGGGCTGCAGCATCCCCGTCGTCTCCAGCCACGTGAGAAGCATCGCCGCTTGCGTGCACATGCTTCACGAATCTTTCCTCCACCAACACGGTTTCCTGCACAACCTTCTCAGTGCTGAGTGGCTGGGGGTGCTGGGCACCTTCGGTGGACTCTGCCTGGGTTTCTGTTTTCTGGATGGGAAAAGATTGTGGGGTGAGTGTGACTGTCCATAAACCAAAGGTCAAAAAATAGGAAACAAAAGAAGCCACTCACTAGGATGCCTAAAGCCAGTGCCACGTGCTTATAACCAGAAACACTTACAGGAAACATAAATTAGCCTTCGTTCCGCCCCCAGGGCCTGTGCTGCCCGCCCCTGCCCCGCACAACCCCCCAGCCTTTCTGCTACTTCAGGAGATCCACAAAAGCAGCAAAACGCAGTACAAAATGCAATCGAAAACCAAACAACGAAAGCATCGTAGCACATTCACATTGGCTCTGGCTGCTTGCTTAGACCCAATGGGTGACATAAAATGCTTTAAAAAACTACATGCTGTTAAAATTTCTCGACACGATTGCCTTTTGAACATCTGCAGTACGTTCCTGAAATGGAACAAAGGCATAAACAGGCAAGCAGGCTCAAAGGAAAATAGGTGAAGACACGTGTGAGGTGTGTAGGGCAAAGCTGCTTGGATGCAAAACACACACACACACACACCCCAAAAAGGCATAAAGAAAGGCAACAGGCAGAGCCAGGAACACCAAGGATGGAAGCAAATGGCCACCTGAACCCAGCTTTGAGAAGCAGAAGTAACCCCTCCTATGAATTCTGTCGGTTTTCTTGCAGACTCTAATAAACTGAAGATTTCAGAGCCATCCATGAGCTTTTCACCAGTAGACTGTTTAGTCTGAGTGAACAGAGAAACGGAGAGTCAACCACAGAGACAGATATGTACAGAGGCACAGACACTCACAGCCGATCAGACAAAACTCTGGGCGGAGGGAAGCGGGAGGAGGGAGGAAGGAATCCAGGGTGCAGACGTTGGAAACAGAAAAGAATGGGATAAAACAGCAAACCGAGGTGACCGTGAGCTCTTTGGTAAAGCAGTTACTAGGGCTGGGGCAACGCTGGTTTAGGCAGATCGTTTTTTCCCTTCATTGCAAGCAACAGCAGCACTACCACATCTCAAGAACGGGGAGCTGGAAATAAACGGAAACTGTTTCAATGCTTACGTTGGACTGCGGTTTTGGTTTAACAATGAAAAAATTAAAAAGCTTGGGTTGGCTGCTTTCAACACAAAGTCAAGCAGCAAGAGAAACAGAAAGGTTCAGGGTGGAAGGGAGCTGCCCCAAACAGGTCATGCTGGAGTCTGAAACGGCGGCCCAAACCAAAGGCACTGGTTACCGCGACTCCGGAGGCTGCCGACTCGGTAACGGAATGAGCAGCAGCCACGGCGATGGCCGGTTCCTGGGAGTATCTCCACTCGGACAGGCTCTTCCTTCTGGGACCAAAGAGTCCCACTTTTAAGGCCTCACTCTCCGGTGCTGGCTCCATTTTGCTGAAGCGCACGCTCCCTAGGCCAGCGTGGAGAGCTGGATCCCTTCCCAGCATCTGAGCTTTCTGGAGGTCTTCTTCAGGACTCTGCCTTCGAGACTCGGCTTCCTTGATGGGAGACAGGGATTCTGACAATTTCCGCTTTGGAGTCTGGACCTCGGGTCCTCTCTTGGCTTCCTCATCGGCAACGGCTTCCAGGACCTCGTACTCTGCCACACCTGAGATGACCTTCCCTGACTCTGACAATCCTCTCTCCATTTTCTGAAGAGCTTCCAGAGTGGACGGTTGCACCACCTTCTCCCCCTCTTTAGCTTTTCCAGTCATAGTAACGATTTTCCCCGACACAGTATCGTAGGATTTTCCTAGAGTGTATATTTTCTGTTTGCTCTCTTCTTTCCATTGCATTTCTTGGGCCAAGTCACAGAAGCTCTGCATGTCAGTGGCACTAGACCTCAGCACGTCTGCGGGGATGTCACCAGTTGTACTGCTCACAGTCACCACCTTGTAAGTGACAATCCTTTTCAAATCACCACCAACTACCTCAGTGGGTATTTTGTCTACAATAACCCAATCCTCTGTGCCCTATATTCGAAATATAAAAGCTAAATTAGAAATTCTGATGGTATCTCATTTCCAAAATAAGAATCCTTTAAGAAAAGCAGGGCGAGAGCTACATGCAGGCCTGTGATGTGACTGTGGAGGCTGGTGTTCTTATCTCATAATTATGGCTGCAATCTCTTCTCATAAGAAACTTATAAGCTCTAACTTGCAACTTGAAATACAGTCTGCATGTAGAGTTGTAATTTCAGGCTTCTTCAAATGGGAACATACTTTGGTAGTAAATTTTGCAAGAAAAATATCTGATCTTAAGCTAAATATCTGATCATTTTGTATCTCAACATTAAATAACATGATTGAAGTTGCACAAGTTATTTAGATTTACTTGTATGGACACAAAAAGGCAGTTTTCCGTATGAAACAAACACTGTACTTCATATCTGTTGTTCTCACAGAGAACTTGCCAGTATTCCACAAATTTCTGTGAATACCTTTTCCATGTTGTAAATGATATTTCCCTATACAGGACATCAAATCCACTATGGCACTCATTATCCAATAAATATTGAGTGTGCCTGAGTTCAAGACTCTGTAATGAAACATTTCCCATGGTTAGAGCCTCTTATCAACAGGCCATGGTGGTCTGTACAGGCTCCAATGTCATCTACAGCCGAAGCCCCCATCTGAGTGGTTTCCTCAGTGTTAGTCCCACTAAGGCAGAAGAATGACAGTTAAGCTTTTGTAGTGGAGGACCCTCCTAGGGTGTGACGAGGCAGCTGACGAGCCTACCAGGCTACGGGGGAAGAGAAACCAACGGGGGGCAGACGAGCACCCTGGCTGACACGTTAGGATGTTTTCTACTTTCCTATTTATCATGGCCTGAAAACTCAAATCTAGAAATATGTACCTGAGAAAAAGGATCACAGATTAATCTACATGCTCGTGCTGGATTAAATGAAATGAACTGAAAAATAACCTCTAGGGTCGATGGGACAGTTTTCTGGAAAACGATTTGGCGCGAGGTAACCACAGAGCCCACGGAGTCTCCCTCCTGTGTTCTCTTCATCACACTCGGCTGGTGGGGAACCAACAAAAGTTCACAACTTTCAAAATCAGTCAAGGTCATCTAAATTACTCCATGGGTAACACAGACAGTGAGAAGTCCCAATAATATTATTAGAAAGCATAATGCAAATTACCATAGACAGATATAATCACCTAGGAGCAAAAGCCATAAAGAAATGACGGCTGATAACTAACACAGGAAGAAAATTCTGAATTCCCCTCCCCAGCTCTAAGCAGAAATGACGTAGCTCCCTTAGTTTTAAATAAGGTTTAAATTTTAAAAGAAAAACAGAACTAAAGGCATTTTACTGACACTGAAATCTGAAGAGCACTTCTCTTTTGGAAAATTCCTGTATGTTTGTTTTTACCTGGGACTCAAGGAATGGAGAGCTTCCTTGCTGCAAAAACACAACTTTTTCAGAAATCTCTCTTTCTTCTTTGGTCTGTTTGAATAGAGGGGGTTGGGTTGGGGAGAAGGAAGTAGACAGTTTCCAAAAAGGCAAGTTAGGAAGAGAGTTCCTTTATCGTGCTAGACATGTAATAGTCACACTCTTTTTTTTTCTGAACAAATAAATTGTTTATTAATTTGAAAAATGGTCTGAAAGCATCTCAAAGTTTCATAATTATTTCCGAAGAGTAACAGATTATTTTCTGAAACTCCTCTTTGACGCAAACACTTCTCATTTCTATAAACAGAGAACGTGCAAGAGCAAGATAAAGAGCGCCCTGGCATCTGACAGCGTCTACACGTCAGTTACCTGAAATACCACAAAACTGAGTGCTCGAAGTAAATGTTAACATTAAAACATTAAGTCAGGAATAAAGCCTCACTTCTGTTTCTATATTCCCCACTCAGGTGCTGCCTGATATAGACTAAGGGAGTGCCCAGGGGTCACAGCATTACCTGTGAATTTGAATAGAGCCAGTTATGCCTAGACAGACTTCTCTACTGTTCCAGAAAGAAATATCAAGTACATCCAAGATTATAAATAACATGGTGAATAATTTAAAAAAGTTAACTTCAAAATACCTTGGTGAAAAATTAAGTATTTCATATCATATTTTTCTTTAATATATAAAATTAAGAAAGAAACATTAAATATGTCATGCTAGAACTAGTTTTCCCCTTTTATCTACTTTTTCTTCCTTTCTTTAGTATTAAATAATCATAATTCAAGTGGCAAGACATTAGCTATTGAGCCCATCTCTGTGCACAGTGTACAGCTCCACAGGGTAGTAGTGAAAGAAAGGACAGCTGGGAAGACTAATCTAAAAAAGAGTGACAGAGGGGCTGGCCCCGTGGCCGAGTGGTTAAGTTCACGCGCTCCACTGCAGGCGGCCCAGTGTTTCGTTGGTTCGAGTCCTGGGCGCGGACATGGCACTGCTCATCAGACCACGCTGAGGCAGCGTCCCACATGCCACAACTAGAAGAACCCACAACGAAGAATACACAACTATGTACTGGGGGGCTTTGGGGAGAAAAAGGAAAAAATAAAATCTTTAAAAAAAAAAAAAAGTGACAGAAAGTTCCAAGTTTCTGGAAGAGTGAAGATTTTAAAATAAATCCTATTGTAAACACTATAATTGTACGAGCTCTATTTAAAGCTTCTGTGCGTCTCCAAGTCTATTAGGACCACATTTAATCATGTGCCTGTGAAGCAGTTGAGGGGGGCATCTGGAGTGTTCTCCCGAAGGACTGACGGACAGGTCTTGACACCACTGTTCTCATACGCTCCTTCTTAAGGAGCAAGAAGACAGATGAAGGAAAAAAAATCCCCGTCCTGCCTCATTTTGGAGAAAGGTATTGGAAGACACCAAATGTACCATGTGGAATCAGTAAATGTAGTTGCTTTGTTTTTGCGTTCTCAACTGGTGCCTCTTTTTCAAACAGAAATAAGAAACAAGAAGGAAAGGTCAAAATTATAGGTAGTTTTCAGATTAGCACTGTTAGGCCTCTAACTGTAATCACTGAACTAAATATTTTTCCTAAGAGAAAAGCTTAAAAACAATAACAGCAGGAAAACTGGTTTGCAGCATATTCTGTTACCTGATATCAAGTAATTTCAAAAATGTCTACATCTGTAATTGAAAACGTCAACACTGTCTGCATTCAGAACTGCATATGTCCAGGAAGAGAAGAGGGTAACCAGGGGATAGATTTTAAAACTAAATCCTGCATCCGCTCAGCCCTGTCCAGTTAGTTCAGCTGAAGAGAAGTGAAGAGGTGTTGAGAAGAAAAGCTGCTAACGGAAACAGTGACTTTTATTATGGGTTAGAATACAGTCAGATGGATACCCCAACCATTTTGTTCAGTTACTTAAACACTCATCTCTATATCATAATTGGGAAACAAGGTCCTGCGCTGGCAGACAAAGTTCTCAGAGGTATGACTCACTCTTGGGTGACGGAGGGTTTCTACAGAGCTGTGACTCACTTCCGCCTGGGTTAGGGGTTCTCAAATTGGGGTGTACATTAGAATGAAGTGGAGAGCTTGCAAATAATGGTCATGTGTGGGGTGCACCCCAGACTAATTGAGTCAGACTCTGATGCAGAATCCAGGCATCAGTATTTAAAAAACTTCCCATAGGTGATTTTAATCTGCACCTAGAGTTGGCCCCTAGGGCCTGGATGGAAACTCACAGAACTCAGATTCAGAGAATGGAGATAGTTCTCTCTATCCATAAACAGATGATCCATGGTGAATGAATTTTTTGCCCAGTTTGAGGCACATCCAAGACCTAAATAGCAAAAGTAAAGCTGGACAAGAAAGCAGAGACATACAGAGCATCGATTCTGGTTATCCATGGGAGGTCCGTCCTATGAAGTTGCCGTGAACAGGAATTAGGGAACACTGCACCAGCGCTCCTAGGGCAACACAGGGCGAGGGGCATGGGAGCTGCTGGGCATGGCATTTTCATCAACTGATCCACACATCACCTTGTTTTATCTATGTTTCTGTTTAAAGACTCCTATTAAATATGTATTTTTCATCCATTAACATTGAATTCACAGCCCAGAGTTCTGTAACTCATTCCTGAACACATGCACTGCCCTGAAGGCACAGCACAGTCTCCTTGCTCTTGGGAGCTGGACCGCACTGCAGCACTATGCTCTGGGGTCATTTCAAACAGCATAAGCACCAAGAAAAAACAGAAAAAAGCGAAAATGGGGCACTAAATAGGCTGTGAAAAGGACACTTGTTTATAGGGTGGGAGCTGAAACAAGACGGCAGAGCCGCCTGTTCCACCGCAGCTGGGACGCGCGCACCGAGCACCTCAGACGCCCCCACTCTGCACCCGGCGGCGAAGGCCCGTGACGGTGCTGTGAACGCTGACTTTAAGGTTACAATAAATTTTACTGAGTAGGTGAATTTGCAAATATGGAATCTGTGACTAAGGAGGATCGACTATACTAAGCTTATATACCTATAAAACTACCAACTATGTTAAAAAGAGGATGCTCCTGGCCCTACATCACTGCGTAAGTGCTGAGGAGTATCACATTTTGGTTGGCATTTGGAAACTTAGTATTCAAGTAACTACGAAGGAATCCTATGAAGGACTGTTTTTCAAAACAATCACTGAGATTACAAAAAGAAATCCAATTAAGGTTGGGGTCACTGAATTGAACTTTCTCCACTCTTCTGACACAAACAGTATTACTTTATTTGGGACGTCATTTTTAAAATTAAGTTAAAGTAAAAATTTCCTTTTAGAAATAATTGTACTTCTTTCTAAACTGGCCAATTACTGCTTAATAAATTTAAAGTGGAACATATTAAATAATAGGATGATATCATTAGTTATTTACTTAGAAAAATAATTCCCCTCCAAAATAAAAATCTTTTAGTTATGCTTGCAAACGAATATGCGTTGTATGTACCTAGCTGGGAGGATAAAATTATCTTTTGTGCTTTCAACAAAACAAATGACCAAATACAGAAACTGGCAAGAATTGAGAGCATGAGAAGTGCCTGGGTTGCTCTTAGGGCTCTCTCCAGGGCCCGCCAAGGGAGTATAAACTCAGATGTCGTCAAGGGCCCTGGAGATGGGTCGCAAGGAGCCCCGAGTGCACCCTGCCAGCCCCGAGCCAAGCGAAGCACACAGGGCCCTGGCTGCCTAAACGGGGCTGCTCTTCCTCTGGGGCTCAAAGCTCCTCAGAGCTGCTTTTCCAGGGCGCCTTTGATAACCAGGGTTAACCAGCCTTGTTTCTAGGAAGTTCTTCTTTACATCTAGCCAAGTCTTTCTAGGACTTCCTCTTTACACGGCAGCAGTGGAGCACTGTGGCACGGCCTCTGCAACAACTTAACAGACGCTGGACAGCAGCTACTAAACCAGCCTTTGGTCTTCTCCAGTCCAAACAACCTGACTGCTCTGCTCTTCTGCAGAAGACAGGTTTCCATCCTTTAATCATTTACAAAAAATTCTTTCTTGGGCTCACTGCAGTTTCTGTGCACTGACACAGAAAAGGCATTAAGATCCGGGGAAAGTTCAGTATATTCAAAGTATCGCCTCTTCAGGTTATTAGTGTTCATCACTGTCATTCTCCAAGAATTTAGTAAGTGAAAAGAACTTCTTTTATTAATCTAATGGCCTAGACCTTTCAAGCCCCTTGCTTGTTAGCAACCACCCTTCAGCTTCCCTAAGCTTCTCCCCAAACGTCCACTCCGAGCGGCGGGGCCCGAAGTGGCAGCATGCAGGCAGAGGCTTTGCTTGGGTGCCTTGTTTTGATTTTGGTGGCTATTTAGTGTTTTTGTGACTTAATCTACTATCTGCCATCTTCAGAGCCAGCATGTTCTTCATTATTTCCAACAGACACAGTAGAAACAGAAAAAGCCAAAGTTGACCGATCACAATGAAATTTATGCAATCATAACTACAAGTGGTATTCTTAATAATGCAGGGACTGGAATATTTCTATCAACCTGAATGTGGAACTTGTCTCATGAAGCTCAAGGAATCTGAATGAAACTTGTGTTTAATGGCACAGGAGGACTAGTAACAGTGCTTTTCATTGATTCTGCATAAAAAGGCCCTTTTCAAAGTAATTCAAATGCACATAAACCTTGTCACTTTTCATCTGGGATTGGAATTGTCAGCTCCATAGTGATTGTGGTCACTTTCCATACATAGCTTTCAAAGGGTGTTCAGAAAGTGATCAAAATGACTGTAATTCTATTCTTCTTCTCACTGCAAGGACCAAAGCATTGTATACTGGCTACTAGTCAAAGGATCTTTCTCTCATAAAGGTTTAAGTTTTAATTTTCTTCTGTTTCAGTTTTCTGGACCAATATCTCACAAAGAAGGAGTCTTGATACAGAAAGAAGTTAATCAACATGATGCTGGGAAGATGCAGTTTAAAGCTACTCCTTTTCAAGACAGACAGAGCAAGCTGATGCCTGACAGCGCCAGTCAGGTTAGCAGCACTGCTGTCGCTGGGCCCGGGCAGCACCAGCTGCATCCTCACGCTCTGGCTGAACATTTAGAGAGACTCTCCTACATGGGAGACTCCTACTTAAAAAGACATTCTGGCCTCTACTTTCCCTATTAAAAACCAAATAAAAAACTGATTATAAATCAGTTAAAATAATGAGTTATATATTTTAAAAAAGTTAAAATTAAAATCAAATACTGATTATCCCAGTAAAAGCCTGGTGTAACATTCCCAGAGTTAAACAGGTCCTGAAACGCTATCAAGTTCAGATCACCATTTAGGCAAACATTAGACATTCTCAACAGGCTTCATCTTGCAATTGATGAGAAACATTCTAGAGTTGTCAGGTCAATTCTTTCTGCAGCAGAAGTACATTCAGAAAAAGCGTCAGTTCATTTAGATAGTATCTCAATTTCTCCCAGATATGAAACCTAGCTTTACGGCTAGAATAAGCAGATTTGCTCCATAGTTTCCCTTTGACTAATTCACACTAAGGACCCCCAGACACAATTATTCACTTCTCAGCCACCTCATCCCTCTACTTTGCAGCCCTACTCTGCAGCCCTGAGGACGTCAGTTCAGGCTATCCACAGACAAGCGGTGCGCTCTCTACTCAGGCGCGTGCTCAACCCTGCCCCCGCCACGACCCTGCAGAGAAGGGAGGCTAGCGGACAGAAGACCACTGCAGCCCAAAGTCTGGATACCAACCTCTTCAGGGACCAGCGGTTCAATCATGGGTGCGTCCTCCTGCCTGGCGGCCAGTCGCACTGGAGAGGTAGAAAGCCTCTTTTCCCATTCATTTGTGATGGCAGTGTCTGTGGAGGTTTCTAGAAAGGTTCTTTTCAGCTCACTGATATTGGTCTGATGTTTCATCAGGTCATCTTGAGTTTTATCTAGCTCCTATATTCAGAACATAAAGAACCCAACAGTCAATGTTTTAGATTTGTTTTCCTTTCTGTTCTCTCTTTAGTAATATCAATCTCATTAGTAGTCAAAACAAAAGAATTCTGATGAGGGCTCATGACACTACCACAAACACTCTGGTGAAAATGTGGTATTTCTGAGGAAAAAAAAATCTAGTTCACGCAAGCATAAAAATCAAGAGAGTTTTAAAAGGTAAACTGTAAAAAGTGTAAATTTACATATAACCAGAGAGAATTAAAATAAATACACACACAAGAAACGGGGTCTATATCTAGGAGACAGGAAGGAATCCAAGGAAGCTAAGAAGTCACCCCCACGTCTTCACAGGCGAGCACACGGTCCATGCAGCACAGCACGAGCCCACACAAAGCCACTCAAAGGAAATCAACGCACACGAACATGCACTGTATGCACCAGTACCAACCTCTAACATAAGATTACTATGTTTGACATACACATTTTCACCCTTTATTCGCTTAATCAGACTATTCTGAAAAAAGTGGAGAAGAAAGGGAAAGGTGAGGGACATGGTAGTCACGGGAACAAACGCCATCCTCCACACTGTACCAACACCATGGTAACCGGCCATGGGAAAAGACCTCCCTCCACACGGCACCATCAATGGGGTAACCGGCCACAGAGCATGCTGGGAGACGTGAACGTCGGAGATGAACAGTGACTTATCACACACTGGTTTTTGTTTTTGTTTTACTTTTATTTTCTACCTGTGCCTTGAGCTCTGCATCTTCCTCCTGGTCCGACTGCCAGCATCAAGAAAGAGCGGGAAATAAAGTCTTACCATGCAGTTGACTCTATGACTGAAGAACTGTGCTCTATACAGACTTGCTAAGTGAGGGCACTGGTTTGCTCTTGCAGACGGATGCCATTTTTTTCTTATACACAAACCACAACATTCTCATACACAGATGATGAGGCTTGTTGAGAAGACGGGATACAAGACTCCTTGCGCAGTGGGTTCTTGGCACTTTAACCTGGAGACTTCCAAGGGTGACCGAGCACACACTTGTGCTTGGCAGGTGACAGCCAGGGCCTGGAGGGCTGTCCTTACTGGACGTTAGAAATGGCTCAGGAAGTGCAGGGAGCCACATTAGAATTAAAATGCACACGAATGGCTATGATCACCCAATAATGAGAGCTCCCTTAGAGGGTATGAACCTCACAAAAATCTTATGAGGTTAGCTATTATTATCCCCAATTTGTAGACCAGAGAACTGTGGCTCAAAGAATTTAACACAAAGATTCCCACATTTTAAAATTTCTTGAACCTATATATGTAAAAACAAATTTGGGTGGGGAGAAGGCTGATAAAGTTAAAAAAAAAAATCAACTACTATCAACATTACCATCATTTCTTTAAAACACAGACAGGATAATTTTTAACAAATAGAACAAATTTATCTAAAAGCCACTTCATTATCCTTATTTTTCTAACTTCAAGGATCTGTTTAATCCTTGGGCTGGTGTGTACCTGAGTACTAACCCCAGGCTACTAGGCAAGCCAGCCAGCCCTGGGCACTCTGACCAGCCAGACCTCACATCCGTGTGACAAAGAGGGCCAGAGTGAAGTCACGGGGGAGAAGACGGAGGCACTTGAGCAAGTCGCCTTAAGCAAATCAACCAGTGTATCTGGCTCTCACTTTCCTTATCTGTCAATGGGGACAAGACTGACTACCCAGCATGCCCCAACCTGCACTACTGTTGTGCTGGCTCCCAAGAGAAGAGAAGGGAAAGTGTTTACAGCGCTGCAGAACACGGACGTAATGCTAACAATGCTGGCAGCGTGCTAATTCCTAAGTGCTACAGGTTCAAGAAATTTTAAAATGTGGGAATCTTTGTGTTAAATTCTTTGAGCCACAGTTCTCTGGTCTACAAATTGGGGATAATAATAGCTAACCTCATAAGATTATTGTGAGGTTCATACCCTCTAGGGGAGCTCTCATTAAGTGCACAGCTCTTCGTTTTAAGTTTCACAATCTACCTATGTTATGCGTGTTTGTTTGCATGGTTCGTTATATAAAATTTAAAACTGCTATAGAAATCTGAAGAATTAGTATTAAAATATCTTTCATTCATAGCACACATTAGGATTACAATGAAGTTTATTGACTATATTAACAAGCAGCCACGTGTAACTAATTCGTACAAAATTAAGATAATTTAAGTAATTTTGTTATATTTGGCATAGAAAATTAAGTTATAACAAATTTATATGCAATTGCTTAAAAGAATCTGGATACTGCAGTCATGTACCGCATAACTCTTTGGTCAGTGATGGACTGCATATACGACAGCGGTCCTGTAGGTTAGTAGTGTAGAGCTTACATGTGTAGCAGGTGGTACCATCTGTTTGTGTCAGTACACTCTGTGATGTCTGCACAATGACAAAATCTCCTAATAACGCATTTCTTACAACGTATCACTATCATGAAGCAACACATGACCGTAGTTTTACAATATTATTTTTAGCTTTAAAAAATTATGATTTCTAAGCTTTGAATTGTATTCTGGCATTTCCAAAGGAATAAACTTAATAAAACTCCATTTTGAAATGTTTTTCTGAAGATATATTCAATTAAATGATGTATAGATACTACTTATAACGTTTTTCAGTTCTTCCTAAATACCCAACTAGAAAATATTGTTATTATTGGATGATGTAAAAAACCTAAAGTAAACACTATCACAAAGTAAAAAATAAATTCTGCTAGCACTTGGGAAGATGACCATCTTGAATTCCCTTACTATAGATAAATATTGTTTTTACAGAAATTTTAAATAGTTACTGGTAGAGAAGATTTGAAAAACACCATAAGTCACGCACATATTTAATTTACTCTATACAATTAATAAAATATAAATAGTAGCATTGCATCTCTCTTATCATTGTTCAATGTGATTATGGTTTTTCCAATAAACTGCTAACAGTAATTTGCTAATCTTCTCTTCCTTAGAGAATTCTGTTTTTTTTTTTTTGAGGAAGATTAGCCTTGAGCTAACTGCTGCCAATCCTCCTCTTTTTGCTAAGGAAGACAGGCCCTGAGCTAACATCCCTGCCCATCTTCCTCTACTGTATATGTGGCTCGCCTGCCACAGCATGGCTTTTGCCAAGCGGTGCCATGTCCGCACCTGGGATCCGGGCCAGCGAACCCCAGGCTGCTGAGAAGCGGAACGTGCGCACTTAACCACTGCGCCCCTGAGCTGGCCCCAGAGAATTCATTTCTTTTGAGTGACTTAAGTTGCACGCAGCCTATGAACATGAGTTTAGGGAAGTATTAGAATTTTGACAAGTATTACTTGACCACCTGGGATTTAAAAAGACATCTGTATCCAGTCTACAGGCTAATTAAATTAATTGTGACCCTCCTCCCCACTCATCATGGCTATCATACATACATAACCTCTCATTTGGGATGAGGGAATACTTAAAAAAATATATTTTTCAGTTTAGTCAAGGGTTCCCAAAATATGAGCCTAAAATTGACAGAGTCAACATTGCCTTGGAATTTGTTATGCAAATTTGAATGGAAATTTTTGAGTCCTACCCCAAACCTTCTGAAGGAGAAACAAAAGGATGGAACCTCTGGATGATTCTGGTGCAGGGCAGGGTTTGAGAACCACTGGTCTAGGCAATTAACTATATTTAACCCCTACTGTTAAAGTGAGAATGTATCTCCACTCGAAAAGCACATGCACTTCCTAAACGCAGAGCCATCCCACAAAGCATGCGCGTGAGGCGACTCCCAGCCGCCCTCAGTGAGGGTACTAACCTCCGTGGCAGTGGTTTCCCCATCAGCGGCGGTGTCCGTGCGCTCACTGTCGGTCTATTGATCACAGAAGTGATCAGGTTCCAGGAGGAAGGCAGGAATAGAAAACAAACCCATCTGGTCAAATAGGGTCCGGCACAGGTCCCACAGCTCTTCTGCTCTGTGGTCTGTCTCACATTACCTTCCCCCATAAGAACACAGGTTTGAGCAAAGCAAAAGAGAGGCCAGAGCCAGGTTTCAGCGCAGAGCCGCTTGGCAGAGGCCAGAGCACGGCCTGCGGCTGCAGGGACCACGCGAACCAAGTCGACTTGCCTGGGTCACGTCTCAGGAAAAGTGAATTGTCATTCTTTCCCCCCTTTAACTAAATCCTGAGAAAGACCTCCTAAAAATGTTTAATGCGAATAAAACTGATGTTTATATGTTTTTTATCTAGTAATATGTCACATTTGAAAGGTAAATTAAAATGTAGATTTAAATAAAAAGCTACTATAACAGTCACTGGACTTTCAGCCCCTCATTTATAGCATTTTGATAATTTATATCCATTTATGACCATCAGGCTGTCTGCATTACCTATCAATTATAAAAAGCACATGCCAGTGACTCACAGGCGTATGTTTTATAGATGAAAAATGTCACTCGATTTTCAAGTAGCATTCCTAACTAGATATTTTTTAAGACTACATGTTGTTTATTTTGCCCCACCTTCCAATATAAAGAGGTAAATCAAAGTATGTGTTTAAGTGTCTCATTCCAAAACATCATACAAATGAAGAAAATAATAATAAAAAAAATAGAGAGAGAATGACATCTACTTGGAAACAAATAAAACAAAGCACAGCATTTGACAGAGCCTAGGTTTCAGAGAATCACAGTGGTAATTGCAGAAATAGTTTTTAATCTGTTTCATAGAGGTTTACGATTTAAAACAAAAACAATTTTCTCTGGAGTAGAGTCAGAGCCATTGAAAATGGGACATCTAAATGCCTTGATATAATGCTAACTGACTTTCCCTTCACAAATATTAACTAACAATCAACAAAATTCCCTTGAGCAAAGATGTGTGATTAATATTTTGACAAGAAAAAACAGAACTGGGGGCTGCCAGCTTGTGCATCTGCCTCCTCTGCTGACCTTCCGCCCTGAAGGAGCAGGGGCGGCAGTGGGACGGCGATGCTGCCATCAGCCCACCTGGGAGGCTGCCTTCCCAGCGCTCTCCCGACTCTCACTGGATCTGTTCCTAAAGGAAAAGGAGCTGGATTCACGCATGGCACGGACACACGAGGTGGCCGTTCCGGCATCCTTGCCACTCGCCTAAGTGGACAGCAATCATCAGCATGCTGGTAAAGAAGCGCGCAGACACACCATCACGACCTGACCGCCTCGCCAGCTCCGGGGGCCTCCTCATCTTCTCAAGGGTGCTCACGACTGTGGCACTAGCGTGGCTCCCTCCTCACGGTCCAGGGAGAGGCCAGCGTGAATCAGGGAGGCAGACAGGCGACCGCTCAAGGTCACAGAATAACTCACAGACATCGTAGGCTTTTAAGAAAAGCAAGAATGACTTGTGCTCAGTGTGCTAACTAGTTGTGTCAAAGACTTCAAAAGGAAAAAGCATTTTTCCTCCTATATAGATTATTTCCCTTATGGCTTTAAATTTACTTCAACAACTTTCCAAGCACTAGGGGTTACATTACCATCGTGGTTACGAGCAAGGGGCCTGACATCAGAGAGACCTGAGCTCAAATCCTGGCTATTTAAATCTGTGACACATTTAATTTTTAATCCCAATTTCCTTCTTGCAAAACGGGAAAATTAATAGCCCTAACTATATCAGGTAATGGATACTAAATGCTTTATACAATGCCTGACACACACACAGCTAAAAACGCCTATAATAGCTGTAAAATATTGATATCAATATAATATTTCTTAATTATTACTATTTTTCCTAGCTATACACAAACAAATAGCGTAGGCCATATCTATACTCCCTCAAATGTCTAGTTAGTGCCTAGTCAGTCATTCCATATACAGAATTCCTGGTCCATAAATAATTAATAAATGAAGTAATAAAGGCTGAATAAAGCAGCTTCAATAGCAACTGTTACTTGTATAACACACTGACTAAACAAAACTGTACAACGTATAGGATGTCATAAACTATCATATAATACTTTGTTTACACAATTTAAAATTTAAAATCAAGTGATCAACTAATTTTTTCCTCCAGATTTGAATCCATCTCCTTTTTCTTTGTATTAACAGAAAACTCCTCACAAACTGACACATAGTTACATTCTCTGGTATGATGAGCTAAACTCATCTTACGTTTCTTGACAGAAGTCTTAATATTCTGCCCCCTCCTATTTGACCATTCTGAAAATACAAAAGAAAAGAAGTGACTGGCCCATAGCTTTACATTGAAATGATTAAGCCTTTCTATACGGGGTTTCGCTCTCAAGAAAGGCTGGGACTAACTGAGCCAGCATGTCACACGGAAAAATGTAAGCAGTGATGTTAAAATATTTAAAAAGAACTACAGCCATCAGTGATTTTGGAAAACAAAAGTGACAGTGCTGAACTGTGTGTTACGAAGTCCCCCAGTGTAGCTGCAAAAGTGCTTGAGGCCTAGAGAACAGAACAGGCCATGTGGACCAACGGCATTTCTTTAGCTGAATGACCTACATGTGAGGGCTCTAGCTCAGCATGAACTGCAGTGCACAGCTCTCAACACTTGGGGTTAAGAGATGACACTGAACAGATGGCCCAGCACAGCCTTCCGTCAGGTGGGCTGTCAAGGCTGGCTGAGGCTGGAGAGGAGGCACAAGCACCGCGCGGCCACGGCTGCCCCGTCTCAGAGGTTTGCACAAGGAGCGCGACGGACTGGGAAGCTCCAGTCACGCGATCACAGGCTTGCAACGAGTAACTGCTGTGATTTGTTTTGCCAATGTAATGCAGACATGCCCAAGTAGAACATGAATTCTCATGCACTGGTTACAACAAGATGTATACCCTGGATTAGGCACAAGATCTGTGTGGGTTGCTACATACAAGTTCAGTTATTTAGTATTCAGAAAAGCACAAAATGGCAATCTTTTTGCTTTATGTTAGCTTGATGACTAACTCCAGTGCTAAAGGAAAAATATATGCCCAGGTTGGAAACCAGCTAACATTATAAATAGTCTTTGTAGATAATACTGTGCTCTTAACTGTTGTATGTTCTAGTCCTGCATCATTTGATAATACTGCTACTGTGAAAATAGTTACATTAAAGCCTAGGATTTAAAGTAGTTTTCTCTTAAAATATTTTCCACGTATGAAAATAGCTTTACGTGCCTGTGCATCTAAATATATATCGTTGGAGCTAAGTCATATATGACCCAAGATCTTTGAAAAGGGCTCTTATGCAATACCCAAAGCCTGAACTTTTATTTGAAACATCTCTGAGACCATTCCCATTTTTTTCCTTCTACTGCAAAGAAATGGTCATAATACCACTAAATATAGACCCTTATACACTCTCACAATGCTGCACACCCACAGGTGCAGCTCAGATTTCGATTTCCAGCTGAGCACAGAACTGAATACACTTCCTTTTCTTTAGTATAGCCCTGACTTTGTGATGGTTCTCTAAATGCTAGAGTATTGGCCTGTGTCCTCCCACAATAGCCTGTTTTGTGGGAGCATGAGAGCTGGAGGAGCAGGCAAGCTGGGGGCAGCAGGGGAGGTGACAGCTAGGTGGCAGCTTCTGTTCTTTTCCCCTGGACTCTATTTGAAGCCTGTAGAGGGGGAAACTGCTGGGGCTGTTCATACAGCCATGGGTGTTGCGAAAGGACAGCAATTAAGAGGAAAACCTACTGGCTACATGCTGACTCACCCAATGGCCTGGATGAAGGACAGGAGAGTGACACGCGGCACTGCCTTCACAGCCGGAGGCTGAAGGCCCAAGTCCTTTCACCACTAAATACACGCCTGGCCGAGAGCCACAGAGGCCCATCCATCTTCCCTGACCTGACCAGACTGTCCACTGTGTGTGGGTTTTTTGGCTTAGGCTGGAGTTGAAGGAATCGCTGCCACCCAATACATGCTTTGGCATTACTAGTGCAGATGGAATTTCAGCCCATTTTTGCAACTGGTAGGAGCCTCAGATGAGTCTTTTCCTGACTGTGTTTGAAACCTGTTGCTTTTAATTGCAGTTCTTTCTGCTCCAGTCTCTGGCCCCACGAATGACTGACATCATGTGCGCATTTTCAACTGCTCAGACATCCTTTCTGACCCCACACACCCAGGGGATTTGGCTCACCTCCGTGAGTAACAGTGACAGTCTGGCAATGACAGCAGAAGAGAGCAGTGGGGACGTTTCAGAAACCCCATGGAGAAGAGGCATTTACAATTGGTGGAAAGCTACCCCAATGAGGACGATGCCTCCCGACGGCATGTCCTCCCCCACCTCACCTGGAGTATCATTTATGTAGTCTATCACCACTATGTGTGACTGTATCAGGAACATTTTAGTAACACACCATAAATCTAGTCCAAAGTTACTTATCTGTCTTATCTGTAATTTACTTTATTACATGACAACTGAAGCCTGACTTTTTACATAGTTAACAGGTTATTTAAAATTGACTTTTGGCTGAGTCCTTCACAACCCGGATAATTCAGTGGGTAGCAGAGCGGCTCCGGCCGGGCTCAGACAGCTCCATCCACATGGTGTTGTGCCTAACCCTGGGGCTGGCTGTACTCCCCAACACACAAAACCTCTTCACGTATTGGCACAGACAATAAATGAGGCTCTGAAAGGAGGACTACTATTGTAGCAGCCGTCTACCACTGCTTCGGACCGAAGCCCCGACCACGACAGGGAAGTGTGCTCTATGCCGAGGTACACACCTCTTCCTCTGAACTGTCACTCGGGTCATTGTCTAGTGAGGCACTCAAGGAGGCCGCCCTGGGCTCCAGGTAGCAGAGGCACATAGCCAGAGGGAAGGAGAGAGTGAGGGCACATGGCACTGAGAAGGAGGCGGAGAGCAGGAAGAAAAAGATGAAGAGGAAACAGGGCAAGAGGGAGGGCGAGCGGATCGGGAGACAATGCTGCAAGCTCTGTGGGAGGAGTCTGGTTTCAGACAGGTTGGGAAAAGAGAGGTAGCCATCGTCATCTAGAAGAGAAGGGAACGACTCAGGGAGCTGCAAGGAGAAGGAAAACAGGGTGGTCCCTCTGCCAGTTTGCTGTTTGTAGCTAAAGGCCACATCTTGGTCCCCTAAGTATGGCTTCCCTTTGCCGTCAGAGTCCAAGGTGGGCTCTCCGTGCACACACACGGTGTCCCTGGACGGCTCGAAACCGGGTGGCTGGCGCTCATTCTCCTTACACCTCCTACGGAGCTCTGTGGGAGATGCAGGGGGTCGGTGGGCTGATGGGGGGGACAGGGGACATGAGTCAGTGCCAAGCCCAGGTGACTGATGTGAAAGAGAGAGAGAGAGACAGAAAGCAGCAAACAGAGGTGCAAAAGGACAAAAAGAAAACTGCAATTAGTTGATTTTCTTATGGGAATCAGTATAAAACTGTAAAACAAGAACTTTAGCACGAGGGTTGCTCATTATTTAAAGAATTCAAGCTGCGTGCCCACCCTGCCATGGACGGCTGCCATCATGCCATTAGACCCGCAGAAACGGGCGGGCTTTGTAAAGGAGTCAGAACAACAGAAGATATCTGTGGGCAATCTCAAAGTCTACATGTTTCACATGATCCAAAAATTTTGTTTAGACCAACAACTCTAGCAAGTTTCAGGGTTTTGAGAGCAAACACAACTCTCTGATCTCTTAAAATCCAGACTTTCAATAACTTCTCCTGATTTCCAGCTAACAGATCTGTTACTGTAGTTCAGGTGAATTAAAAATAAAAATGAATCCAAATTTTGATTATTTAAAAAAAATCTCTAGCATTACCTTTCCTTGGTTAGTCAATTACATCCAAAACAGGTAGGTTTCCAAATCAAGAGGTTTCTGGCCCCACTCCTACGTGGGTAGCAGTTCCAACTAGGGAATTCAACAATTAGCATCTTAGGAACCCTGACTCTCCACAAAGAACTGAGGTTCCGCTGAAAACTCCTTTTCCATTGTGGCTCCTTTATCCATGATGTAAACAGAACTGAAACTCAAATAAGTGGTTTCAACAAGCTAATTAGCAAAAAAAGAATGCATTTTCTTGTGATATGGTTTACAAGCATTTACTTTGTATTATTTGTGGTGCACAAATAATAGAAGTATAGATACAATTTCCCAGCCTTCTGATTTTTCTTAGCAGACGAATGCTACGTTTAACTCCCCAGTTTGAGTCTTTAAAAGAAAGGCAGGCATCGCCACTAAAGTGCTCCCAGTGAGTTCAGGCTTCTGCAGAGAAAGTGAGGCTCTCTATAGTCTCTGGCCCGGGCAGCCTGCACGACCATGGCAGTTTCCTCTGCAGGTGGTGGGGGGCTGCCGAGCAAGGGCAGGAGTCAAGCAGGCTAACTCCCAACGGGACCTGGCATGGCACAGAGCTGCGACAGCGGGCAGCTGCAGACAAGGTCACCTGCAGCCCGACTTCATTGCTCTCTTGGACACTGTGCGCGTGTGCGCACATGCATGTTTTGCCCAGTGACCCGACAGTATGGAAATTACTGGGCCTGCTTCGTGATGGTGATCTAATCTTGACGTGGTAAATACAGAGGGTAAGAAAATGTACAAATAAAAGTACATCATGGATACATCAGAATTTAGAAGCGTCTCTCTTTAGTATTAGACAAGTGTGTCTTCCCCAGTACCCACACTTGACATTAAACACTGGGTTTTAAACAGGACCCTGCATAAATCTCATTCGACAGAGAATCACATAAAGTTATAAGCTGACTTCTGCACGCAGTTGTTCCCCAGGGCAGAAGGCTACCCAGTTACCTGGGGCCATTATCAGCCTGGGAGACACGCCTCTTCGCAAAGGAATCTAGGGGACCAGCCTTTTAAGAACTATTTTCAGCAACACATTTTTATTTTGGCTAAAAAATGAGTACTCTCTATGTCACTTTTTGAAGGAGAAGAATAAAACGTTTAATCTTCCATGCTGCTTATTAAGGTGATTTTTAAAAGACAGCATTGCAGGGGGTGGTTAAGTTTGCGCGCTCCGCTGCAGGCGGCCCAGTGTTTCATTGGTTCGAATCCTGGGTGCGGACATGGCGCCACGCTGAGGCGGCATCCCACATGCCACAACTAGAAGGACCCACAAGTAAGAATATACAGCTATGTACCGGGGGACTTGGGGAGAAAAAGGAAAAAAATAAAAAAATCTTTAAAAAAAAAAAAAAGCATTGCACCATGGGAAGTGAAGACAGCCACCCACCCACTCAAGTACCAGGTCTCAGCCACAGCCCTTCTGAAGGCATTTGGGCCAAAGCACTGGCTTCTCAGGGACTCACACTATGAGAGTCAGAGTTTCCTTTGTCTTTTTATTTTCCCACGGCATAAATGGCACAAAGTGACGACAGCTTAGTGCTACATTTTACATAAACAAATTGGTGGTCTTTTAGAATTAAAAAAAGTGAAAGGGCTGGCCCTGTGGCCGAGTGGTTAAAGTTCCACATGCCCTGCTTTGGTGGCCTGGGTTCACAGGTTTGGATCCCGGGTGCGGACCAACTCCACTCATCAGCCATGCTGTGGTGGCATGCCACATACAAAGTAGAAGAAGACAGGCACAGATGTTAGCTCAGGGCTAAGCTTCCTCACCAAAAGAAAAAAGAAAAAAAAAGTAAGATGGCCTGGATCTATTTTTGCAGCAAACTAAAAGTCATTTACTGTTATGTGCCTTTTTATCATGTTTACACATCCAAGAGAATCGTATGTTGGCATGGGAGACTTCATGAAATCATGGAACACATTTGGTTTTTCAGGTGTACTATCTTCTTTTCAGGTCCTATTTAAAAAACATGCCTTGACTTAACTGAAAAGGAAGAGTGTAAAAACAAAATTCAGAACAAAGCACATTTTAACAGCAAAAGTGATTCAAATATTCTTGCTGTCATTTCCTATCCTGCTTTTTATTTTTGTGTTTGGCAAGTAAATAATCTTATCCTAAAAAAAAAGAAGATGGATTGGGTCATTTAGAATAGTCTAACATAACTACAACAATGATATATTTGTTGATCTACCTATTTAGAAGTCATTGCTAAATTCCTGTCAAAAGGAGCATTTTTCTATAGGGCCCAGATGGTGAGTCTCTACTACATAGATCCATATTTGAAGAGCCCATGTGCAAAAGAGAACTTCTGAATCAAACTCAGGCAAGTGTCAGCAGAACCTGCAAGCTTTGCAGTATTTCCATCCTCTTAGCTCCTGTCACTCTGTTCTCTGTGTGCTCCAGGAGCCAGCCTGCTTCCATTATTATGTATAAACCTCCTGATGAGTTTTCTGACTTTCAGGCAGCTGCTCTGCTACATACAAAATCCACAAGCAGATGCAGGTTGTCCACTTGTTTTTTGACTTTTAAATTACTTTTCTGAAAAGTTGCCTTACAGTGCTGGATCATCAGAAATAGGCATAATATTTAAGAAGAATTTGAATTTTGGGTGAAATGAAGTCACAAAATTTAATGAACAAAACCCCTTGGAGAAACTGCTGCTAAATTCACTTTCCATCTTCCCTTGCAGCCTTCTGCCTCAATAGCCCCTTTCAAAACATGGCCACTGGCCACTGTGATGATTAGATTATAATCCTAAAGCTGAGAGAGAAGACTGTGTGCGAGCACACAGGCTGCAGTCACCAAGTTACCGGCAGTCAGAAGAATGGTAACGTAATTACCGTATTTCTAAAAGAACACACAGTACGTGCGTAGGAGAATGGGGCCAGAAACAAAGAAAATGGCTTTAGCAACAGTTCTGAAATGTGAGACCAAACAGAAATATATAATATGCCACTGAATGTATTTTTACGATATCCAGACAGGACAGCTGTTGAAAGCCTTCCATAGCACATCAATTGTTAACATAAAATTTTCAAAAAGTTAAGAAAGAATCCTTCAGAGGAAAATAATAACTTAAAACTTGACAATATGAATGTGACTAATGCTGGAATATAAATTAGCCTAAGTCTTAACACATTCCTGGTTTACATCTTCAGAATTATTTAGTAACTTAAAAGTCTGAGCAAGCTCCAGGAGGCAGCCTGGGAGATGTACCTTTCCCTCTTGCCGCACGACTGCAGCGGGCGTGGCCTCCTCTGCCTTCTTCCGTCTGTCCTCGTCCTCGCCGCGCTCTTCTTCGGCCTTTTTCTCCGGAGTCACAGTGGTGATCAAGTTGGTTTGAGAGATGCCCTTTGTTGTGGCGTACTGGCCAGTACCAACCTCTGCAGCAGACACAGAATCCTTCATGTATATTTCATGGTTTTCATTCACTGATGCTAAAAGCAAATATAATTAGAGAAATAAAGTCTGAAATAGCTAAACCAGAAGAGCGATGAACACCACCAATCGTCCCATTATGGAAAAAAATATCCCTACGAAATACCAGGATTGTCTCCAAAAGACAAGTCAGCAATGTAGGGACCTCCGCCTCAGCACTGCCATGGGCTCACCTTTCTGTATCATCTGCACCAGTGTTTCAAAATGAGTTAGAGGTTCATCTCTTGAAGCCACCAGAATACTTTTCAGCCATTCTCAGACTCTCTGGTGAGGATGTGTGTGGGGGTGTGGTGGTGGAAGGATGAGAGCCTGCACTGCCCCCAAGCCTGTCAGCCCCATAGTAACCGGCTGAGCACCAGCACCAGGCACTTCGTAGCAAGTCCCATGACTAATGGCAGTATTTGCAGTAGACAATTGCTCTAGTACACTTGACTTTCAACATATGTATGGAAGTGTTATTCACCAAGGAGCACTGAAATGTTTTTTAAATTATTATTATTAGTAATAATGGTTGAAAAGTCTATCACTCCTACAATATAAGAGCCCCATGGGTAATAATGAAAATTTACCATCTTGGCAGAGATTATAAAATTCAGATGGCTAATCTGTGCAGCTGAAGTGCAGAAATGTTTTAATTTCTACAGCTCTTTAAACAAACTACCATGATATGCATACATTCATTCATCTCTAATATTTTGGGAAAACAAGACAAATGCTGCTAATGAAATTCATGCAAATGTAAAGCATGCAGACATAAGAGATACGGCACAGTCTTTCATCCCAGCTAAAATGTCTTAGTGAAAGAGATGCTTAATTCAGTCATATGTTTTAAAATTTGATACTCAGTTTAGGTTTTCAGTATCATGAAATTTATTGAAACTTCTAAATGCTGCTTTTCAAATATGCAGTAGCTAATCACAAGCAAAATATAACCTGCTTCACATTCTAGGAAGTTTAAAACAAATATAAAAAAGATTCTGAAATCTTTTTAATTTCACTAAAATACCTTCACTAAGATATTTTCTATCTCTTTATACTGATGAAAAAGCTCATATGAGACAGTTTCTTTCTGGGCCAGTTAGGCTGTTCCACATAAGAGGTAACCTTGCAAAAAGCAGTTTATATGCCAACAAGCAGCCCCGGCCCCAGCTCAGCAGCACAGAAAACATACTAGAATTGGCAGGACCCCAACGAGTGAGAACCAACACATACTAACATCACTTTTGGGCAAGAAGGAAGAGACAGCATGATATTAGAACATTCATTTCACAATTGTCTTCTGTCTTCTCGGCAATCATTATTACACCAAAGGTGATGAGGAAAACAACATTTGCAACAAATGCGTTCCCTTGGGTACACATCACTGAATAAAGTGGATGATATTCAGGGAAAAAAGGTGTAATCCTACAAAAGCTCCTCCAACACTGACTGATAGAACACAGAGACTTTACAGAGAAAGAAGAGTAAACGAAACAGCACCGAAAGAAACCTTGAATGTGGATATTTAACACGGATATTTCAATCTCTTAATTCAACTCCAAACAGTTCTAATAAACATTTTATTCCAAAAATTTGGCTCTAAGTTAGATATTCTGAAAATGGGAAACTCTTAAAAGATAACAAATGGTAATTAACTTCCTAGGCCAGCTCACACAAGCCTAAAGGATAATTATCAATGTAATTACCTAGATAATTATAACTACATCTATAACAAGAGTGCTTTCACATATGTCTTACTCACTCTTTGCAAAAACCCTGTCAGAGGTGGCCTTACTCCCATTTATGGGTGATGACTAAAACCGAGACCTGCAGAGCTCAGATCATTCACCAACCATGACACGGACAGACGGCCTGGACTTCAGTCTGCATTTATCTACACAAGGTAAGTATTCTTGCCCCTTCACCAGTAACATACACGATATGTATCATAACAATTTTGATGACTTCTATAAACTGTTTGGAAAGTATCCCATTAGGGAAATACAGTCTTTTAAATCAGGGGATTCAGGGAGGATGTCGCCCCACCAACCACACTAGAGGATGGTGAACAGGCAGGGGAGAACTGAGACTCAGTGGCAAGTGGTAGAAGAGGGTAAGGAGAAAGGTGATCCTAGGCACTAGTAACGTTATTTTTATTTATGTTTTTGCTTATTATTAAAATCATACACACATGCTAGAAACTTCTAACTCTTTTTATTTGCACACGATAGGTCTCCTATGAAAAGCTCATCAGAGGTGCCCCAAATTAGGAGACAGAGGCCTGGCCCCAGCTCTGTCCCTAAGTTGGGTGTTGGTACAGCTGACACGTCTTACAGCAGAAAGCACAGCTGCATGTAACTGTGGACAGCTGTACAAAACTTTCCACAAATCAAAAAGCCTGCTGAAAGCTCAGTATTATGTCATTCCTTAACAACGCCATTTACATGATTCCTTGTTTCACTCACACATTGACAACAGTAGAGAAGACTTACACGGCAATGCTCACCCAGTCCACCTGGTATAGCAATTAATACTAACCAGGAGGATTTAACTTAGAGCCCTTTGCTCTCTTAGCTGAATGCCACTCTTTCTATCAGCTATTATTCATTGATTAATAAAAGTCACATTTTATTCACAAAAATTTTTTAGAAAGTGATAAATTTAACTCACAGTTTCCTTTCTGAAACAAATCATCTACAACAAACCTGATAAACATTTAGAATGTACTGGCAAAGAACTAAATTACTTATAAATTCTGTAATTACTCTATTTAGAATAAGAGCAACTTTCTTCAAATTTAGGTTGCCAGCTTATGAAAGCTACGCTCTTCATTCCCTAAGTACCACTCTTTTATGTAATTTTATATCAATCTACTAATAACAGACTTTAGCCTCACACAGGCGCTTTTTTTTTGAGGGTGGGCAGTTAAAACTTGCCATTCGGCCACAGACTAACAAATACTTTTCATTTCATACCATCCAAGAGGACCGGTGTTTACCGAAAGCTCATGACGGTTTCCCACTACTGCGTAGGCAACAGCGATTACTAAGGGCCAGTAAGTGATGCCTACCTCCATCCAAGCTGCGAGACATGGTGTAACGTTTGCTGGACGAGCGCTCAAAGTAGGGGGCTGGACGATCGATCAATGCACTGGCTCTTCTCGTCTGGGCTTGCGTTCTGCCACTGTAACGAAACTTGGAACCCAAGGTAAGGAATTTCTTTGGAGGTGCTTCTGGTAACAACAGTCTAAAGACGTTAAAGAAAAAAACAGCAGAAAGACTATTAAACGAAATATTAAGAACCCTCTTAGCTTTTTACTCTGTTCTGAAGAGAAAGTGCTTTGTGTGCTCAAGTTTAACGTCCAGAATGCAATTAAATGAATCTGATGTTACAAGAAAAAAATCAATTTACACAGAACATATCAACCAGGGATGTTGCAGAGTGGCTATAAGCAAAATGGGGGTTGGGTTGCACAAGACGACTTTAACGTCCCATGCAACTGGAGTCTATGGTTCTACAAACCCAGAGAGCAGCCAATTAGGCGATTTAGTGAAGAAGAACAGTGATGGTTTTGCAGACACTAATCTGACGGTTCTAGTACTGTATGTGAACAAAGGAGTCTGGAGTAAGGAGAAATTATTGAAACAGTAAGGAATAAATTGGACAAATGAAAAGACACTAAAGATAATAAAGGGGAGATGGGGCAGATAAGTGTAAGAGAAATTAAGGAAAATCCTACAAATTTAGTCAGAAGTTCTTTCAGGATTTCTTCTCAAGAAATGTGGTGACAGTAAACTTGAAAGAATAGAAAGGATATGCTTCCACATTCTTCTTCCCAATAACCTCTTCCAGTATAAGTGATTCCAATCACTCTATTTCTTCCTTAGGAAAGAACAAAACGATCTTTACCTACCTGAAAAATGTATGGTGTTCAACACATACTTTCCATAGACGCTTGGCGGCTCGATGGTTTGGCAGCTTAAACCCAATGGTGCTTTCAAATTGTTCAAACTAAATTTAAAAAACATATTGAAAAGTAAAGTCAAGTTTGGAATTATAAATAACAAAAAAGCAAATGATTTACAAAATCATAATACCACCTACAAATTTTTTCTTTACTTACTAAATCAATTGCTATATGCAGAACTCATGCTATACATATTCATTCATTGAAAAAAATCTCCTTATATTTATCTCCTTAAAATGCTGCAGGTACAGATAACTACATTATATATGCAGTAAATATTTTATGTACAAGTACGGATCATACGAAAACTAAATGCAAAAAAGGAGGAATACTTGGATTCCTTCCAGAAACCAATTTCTCATTTTAAGCCTTATTTTCATGGTTTCTCCAGGACATCATGACTTCAACTGGAATCACAGAAATGAACAAAAGGTTTATAGTCTATAGCATTCTCAGGATGATGCTTTCTCCCAGCATCTGGTCAGAAAATATGCCTCTCTCTCAGAGATACCTGATGATGTCGTATCAGATATTGCTGATTTTATTTGTGCACTCTAACATGGATTATCATGTTAAATGCGGACATCTCTTGATAAAACATCAGAGACTGAGAGAATACATTTTCATATTTTTCCACTCGTCTAGCTCAGATGATACTCTACCAGTCATTTTGTTTTTTCAAGGTGAAATAACTGATTTCCTGAGTAACATAGTTTTGTGTGTGTGTGTGTGTGAGGAAGAGTGGCTCTGAGCTAACATCTGTTACCAATCTTCTTCTTTTTACTTAAGATTGTCTCTGTGCTAACATCTGTGCCAGTCTTCCTCTATTTTGTGTGGGATGCCGCCAGTGTGGCCTGACGAGCCCGGGATCTGAACCTGCGAACCCTGGACCACCGAAGCAGAGCACATGAACTTAACCACTGTGCCCCTGGACCAGGCCCTGAGTAATGTATTTTAATACTATTACTGTAGATACCCGGCAACTTTTTATTTTCTGAAGACAGTATGCATCAGGCCATCAGAGGACAAGCATCTTAAACAGTAAAGGCTTTTTCCAAAAGAGCACAACACAACCAGACCACTGATGTAATCAACAGCAAAAGTAATTTATGTGGCAAAGAACCCAAGTGAGGGATCCTATGCATGGAATGTAAGATGTAATTATCCTTGACCTCTGTTTCTTATTTGTTGAGTGGGACTGGGAAATACATCACAGTTTGCTCTAATTGCAGCTGCCTCCCCCAATTTCTTACTCACGCTGATGTTCACGTGCAGTGGTGGTCATAAAAATCACCACTGAAGGACCCAGTGAGTCGAGAAGCCAGAGTATGATGGATCCAGACTAGACCATCCTCCATTGATTCATCCTGCATCTAACGTGCCCCACACACTGCACTGCGGCCGGAGGCCCTACAGAGGAGTTTGAGCCTGCTTCTGCCTGCACCAGAACCCTCTCCCTCCCCACTGCTGTCACTAAGCAGAAGCCTCAGCTACTTTACTCCTGACTTCGCTGCAACCTGGCAGGAGCTCCTAACCCCTCTTACTCCTAAAGGTCACAAGGGGACCTCACTGTCAAATCCCACGCACTTGTTGCTATTCCTGGTGCCTTCTCTGCAACATTTCACAGCACTGGTTAACTGCGGCCCTGAAGCTCATCTCCTTGTCATCCTTGACCATTTTTGTCCCTTCTTTTCTTTGGCCATTTTTCCTGATCCCTACGTTCCTCCTCTGCCTACCTCTCCCTCAAAAAGTGTTACCCTCAAAAAGTGGTCTTACTCAGAGTTTCTGTTTTAGGGACTCTTTTTTTTCCTCTAACTTCCCTTGTTTTTTGGGAAATTTACTCCACGCCTAAGGCCCTGAATAAAACGTGTACAGTTGATGACTCTGTTCAAGTCTTATACGTCTTACTGTGCAAGAATCACCCTCTGAAACTCTGTCCCAAAGGAATTTCAATATTTTCTTCGGAAATTCTCCCCCTTCTTCTCTCGTCTAATATCTCCATTGACTTCTCCCACGCAAACTGAAAACCTCTGCTTCTCCTGGTCTCTCTCCTCTCTCGATCCTTCCCCGTCGTGTCTCCAGGGCTGACTGGCTGCCTCTGACTCGCTCCTGCGACCCTATCGCTACGGCCTCTGCCCTCGCTCAGGAGGTACTGCACCACATCACTAAGCAGCTGAATTTCATCAAGAAACCCATCACTCCAAAATACGCCTCCAGTTATGTGAGGTCCCAACTGAAACCTCGCATGGCTCACTGTCGTCTCCTGACGCACTCGTCCAACCTTCCCTGCTCTCACAGCCGCGCCCGCTCCAGGTCTGAGTGTTATCACACTCACATAAGGACGCGGTAAGTCTAAGTGTGTGAGTCTGTTTCTCTGCTAAACAGAAAATCCCTGAAGGACAGGAAAAAGGAAATATTGACCTTTCTATTTCCAATGCCCAGTGTGGGGCCTGAAAATACAAAGATGCTCACTTAACAAATGTTTAGTGAATCCAAACAAATATCTATTGGTTCTAAGTTTAACATGCAATCTTTAGGAAATGTAAAAAAATGATTGTAATTTCAGGTATTTACATGAAAAGCTTATGCATTATTTTAGTCTTCATGACAAGTTTGATTTTCTATTTACATTAAACATGAATGTTTGCCTTACAGTCTAATATTTTAATTGCATTTTCCACCAGCAGAGAGGTTGATTTTGAAGACGAGATAATTCCATATCGTACCAGAAAATGTTCGGAGACAAACGAGCTGCAGCCTCAGAGCTCTGCCTGCCTTCATAACATTAACCGCACTAATTAGAAACTGGAGGTATTCATTAATTATCTATTAAGCAGGTAATAGCAGATATTTACTACCTATTATGTACGAACCACTAAGGAGGATATAAATATAAGTTGATCACGGATGCTACTGCCCAAGGTATAAGGATTAGTTAACGATTATGATTCTTTCATTAGCCTCTCTGATTAAAAAAAAAGGTGGAAATATATTTACATAACTAGCACTCAGCATCCCTGAGTCTGATCTTTCTTGTAGCTTGACCCACATTCTCTCTAAGCTATTCACTTTAGAATGCTATCAGACTCGGGCAGAGAGAGAACACCGAGACCTAAAAACAGGACAGGTGGGAAGAAGTCGACTCTTCATTCACAAGGAGGTTTAATGACTAAGAATTTCCTTTATGCTACAGCTTGATATATACAAAATATTATTCATGAATCTGGATTTTACATTAAAATATGTGAAAAAAATCCCTTTCAATCAATGTATGTAGTGGGGAAAAAACTGGAATAAAATAATAAAAAAAGAGAGGCAAGCCTGGTGGCGTGGCGGTTAGGTTTGTGAGCTCCACTTCGGCGGCCCAGGGTTCACGGGCCGGGATCCCAGGTGCAGACCTAGGCACCACTTGTCAAGCAAAGCTGTGACAGGCATCCCACATATAAAAGAGGAAGATGGGCACAGACGTTAGCTCAGCAACAATCTTCCTCAGCAAAAAGAGGAGGATTGGCAGGTGATGTTAGCTCAGGGCTGATCTTCCTCAAAATAAATAAATAAATAAGTAGAGAACATTTTATTTATTACTATTTACTGGACAAACCTACAATCAATTCTTTTAGGCATTTAGACATAATGTACCATGTCCTGCAATGTTCAGAACCGTGAACAGGCAATTTAAATGTTTGCTTGCTATCAGGTACCTTTATTCCTAATGTACGTGCAAATTTAGGTCTACTTACCTCTCCCGGCCGGATCTTAATGTAAAAGTTGTTCCGTTTGTATGAAATTTTTAGAACCTTAGGCCAGGCAAATCTGTTTATTCGCAGTCGGTCACGATATATCAACAGACCACTTGCACAAACTCCTAGCATAATTTCTACTCCCTCAGAATCCTGGAAAATAGCAGCAAGGAGCAACAGTGAGGACCTGGACCTCACTCGTTTCCAGTGACAGCTGGGTATGACATTTAAGGCCCCATGGCAGAGCCTATAATTGACTACATATAGCTCTAATTTAAATATGAAAAATACTGCAGCCATTTTTTAAACATTACCACTAAATAATAGCCTTTTAATGAAGATACTTCTCACTGTGGAGACTTGTTAGAGTAAGATCTGCTCACTAAGGTACTGCAGGCCCACGACGTAAACACTGCACACAGGCCGACCAGATGAGGCCGTGTTACTAACAGCAAGAGCCTGGTTCTTTCATTGAGCGGCAGGCGCTGCTCTAACCACTGTCCTTGCAGTGGCTCTTCTAATCCTCACTAGGGTGTGCTGAGATAGTTGCTGTTATTAGTCCCATTTTACAGATGAGGAAACTGAGGCACGGAGAGGATAAGTGTCTGTTCCAGTTGAATATGGGCGGCCTGGTTCCCAGGTAGCACTCCTAACTAATATTGCGTACTAACAGAGATGCCCTGTCCTTTCTTACGAGTGTTCTGGGGTTTGTTCCTTTAAAAAAGCCTTGATCTTTTTTATATAACATTATCGTCAGAGTAAAATTCAAATATAAACAGTTGTTTTGAAGTATAAATGAACTTCCCCAACAGGCCCCCAACACAGGCACACTGCCCAGTGAACAACCGCTGAACACACACAACTCCGGAGACATTTTATCCATGTGTAGGGTTCGGTGTTTTTGAACCAAAGTGGATTAGACTATATTTGCAACTTGCTTTTGCTGTCTGTACATCTCCTGTTTAGGTCATTTGCCAGGGATGCGGGATGCCCAGAGCTCCCAGAGGTCCACAGAGACGCTATGTGAAGCTCAGGAGACCCGCCACGTGCAGTCTGACCCCTAAATGTTGCATTTGGGCGAAGTCAGGGTAAAATGAACATCTGCAGAAGCTGCGGGTGGGGTGAAAACCATGGAGAGGAGGCAGGACTGTGTGTGAGGTGCAGTCTCCACGCCCTTATCTCCCGCGTGCTGTGAGCAGGGGGCACGAGGCGAAGCTGGGCCTTCCGTCACACTGAGCGCAGGCTGTCCCGGCCGGGAGCCACCGCAGCACCAGCAGAGAGACGAGGGGAAAACGGAAGAATCCAAACAGGAGGTTCTGACTCATCCGTACTGTGCGGATTTACCTCCTCAATGCAGCCAGTGCCAGGCATAAGACGAACATTTCCAGAATCAAAAATAAGTATTTTGGTCCATCTCTGGGAAATCTAAGTTTACAAGTACAAACTAATTGGTCTAAAATGAAATAGTTTACCTTGGTAAAGGATCATGCCATTAGACGTGAAATTATTCTATAAGAGTGGAAATACTTGACAGCAGGATTTTACAACATAGTAAAATCTGAGGAAAACTCAAAAGCGAGAAACCACCCACACTTATCAAGGGCTTTAATTTGAAAGTGGAATTTAAAGAGCCAGACCCTGAGGCTGACAAGTAGCTGGCCTGACTGATCCTCTCGAACCAGCCAGTCTGCTCAGAGAGAAAGACATTTAAAACCTTTTTCATTATTTTATCTATTTTTAAACCACCCATTAGTGTCTCTGAATCCTAGGAAAACAGAATCCCTTTGTGGGAAAGATCAGAAAGGCTCCTTTGATCCCTCTTCTTGTCCCCTCCAACACACACTTCTGTGTCCTCTCATCACCCTGTTATCTCGGGCACAAGATAAGAGCACCAAACAAATGGTGCTGCCAGACTCCTGCTCCTCTCTCTTCTCCAGACGGTCGGCTGGGGGGGGCGGGAGCTCTGCTCAATCTCTGCAACCGGGTGGTCAGCATCATGCCTGACCAGCGTGTGTTAAGCCACTACACGTTTGTTGAAAGAAAGGGAAATGAAGAAAGTGTCAGGAGTACATGGTGTTTTAAACTAGATGAGCATCTCCATTTCATTAATCACACAGCAACAGAGAACGCTACTTTTGATATCAGGTTTTCTGCCTCGGCCCAGAGTACTGAGGTTAGTCCGGTAAATCTTTTGTTTTGAAAGCTGTAACAGCAGTTTTTGTGGGAGACGTGTGTTTCCCTATCGACAAACACATTTAATGCTCCCTTTAGCATAGAGTACTGAAGGAAGACCTGGATGGTCTCAGTCTATAGAAATTAAAATAAATAAGTGTACTACTCCCTTAATTTAAAATCACTGTTTAAACTTGCCCATCCTTTATGATCACTTTGTCCATGGGATATCTGAGATGGATTTATATCTACATTTTAGAAACTTATATGAAATAAATGACTCTTGACAGAACCTGTTCAGACTGACATTAAGTGACAAACAAGCAGAGATGGTCTTCCTAAGGAAAAAACAAAGCATTTAGAATATGTTTTCCGAAACAATGGACCTTCATCTAATATGGTATTTATTCTCTACACAGAGATGTGGAATCCAAGATCACAATTCAGAATTTCTAAATAGGTCCGAATGCTCAGGGCCTTCCATACCATCAACAGAAGAGAGGCATCTCATTTATAACCGGAAATTAGCTCTAATTTAATTCAGTAAATTTCCTTCTTGAAATGATGGAGTGTGGCTGCATGAGAAAATGGCGTCCATAACGGAATCATTTGTCACACTTAACATTCAGATGAAATCCTGTAACAGGCTGCATTTGTACTTCCTTAATTCTTTCTTTTTTAATTGGCATAATTTCAAATCGCATTACTGAATGAAAAAGCAGCTTTTTAATTCAGTAATTACAGCTATGGTAAGTGATTTTATTTTTCCTGATAGGAACACAGATAGATCTGGAGTTGAACTTCCCTAAAGATAAGCCCTAATCTTTTATTTACTTATTTTTCCTGGGCAGTAAATGAATCATTGTGTGCAATGTAACTCAAAAACAGACTTTGATTCACTCAAATTTTCAGGCTACTTTTATCTCCTTCTTGTCTCTTTATCTTCTAGCCACCTAGGGACAAATTCCAAGAGAAAAAACAATCTTAGTGCACGTCCTCATTTTCTTTTTAAATCTTCATCCTGTCTTATACCTGACATAAAATATAAAACACCTTTATTATCTGAGTGCAAAATAAGTGAAAAAGTATAATATTGAACTGGCAAGTAAACAGAGCTACGCCTGCTGTTCTAATTACACACAAATGTCAGAGTTTGGTGTTCAATGTACCAGAGCCTCCCTGGGATAAGCCCCAGCGGAGTCCCGGAGAGGCTGCTACGCTCAGGAAGTACTCATCCTGTGTGTGACGCAGAAGATGAGCCACAGACAGAACCAATCGAACCTGCATCTGTTTGATGGCCACCATTTTCTTATCCAAATTCACTATGGATTAGTGTGCTCCCCAAACGCCAACCAGGGAGCAGCTCTCCTTGCGGCATCAACAGAGCCTACAGATCATGATTCCCACCCCTGGGGCCTCAGCGTGGTGAGATGTTTGCTTGCATAGAGCGAAACTCTCTTCACGTCTCGGACCCACACTTGACTGTGTAATATACTCGCTTGCCTGGAAGCCTATTAACTGCCCGTTCTTGTGAGTCCCAGACCATGAAACCGGTGACTGCGCTGTCTGCTGGGAGGAAAATGCACATTCCCATACAGGGGGATGTTACCTTGTCAGCCCAAATCAGAAGAAAATGACCCTGGACTTCAAACACTGATCTTTTTAATGCTGCTGAAGTACCAGAATCCATCCCAAAGATCCTAACAAATGTCGTATGTCTTGATGATAAAAGTTTTCATCAAAGTTTGCCTGTGCTTCCACGGTACTTTCATTCACAGCTGTTCAAATAATAGACTCATAGTCCATATGCTCATTCTCTCACTGCTGAAAAATACAGAGATTCTGGAAAAAGCAGAGCACGGAGTAAAAGCTGCTCTATGTATCCTCACAACCTTAATCTTCCTACAGTTCAATTCCAACTTCCTTCTTCCCAAAACTGTATAGCCAACATAAAGCTTTAACATTTCACCGATTGCCAAGCAACTAGGCAATCCTCAGCCTGGGTGGTTAATTTTAGTTGAACTTCAAAATAACAATCTCATTTCAAAGTCCTGGTTATTTGTCAGAGTACTTAACTTTAGAGAAAGAATTTAAATTTTGTGTGAATGTACTGAGTCCCTGGTGGGTGGCCAGAGCAGAGGCTTAAACGGTAGTTGGCACATAATAGATGTGACAATTGGGTCTTGAACAATGGGCCAAATTTAGATAGGCAGGACAGGAAGGAGAGGATAAAGATGGAAATGTTCAGAGAAAAGGCTGGGTGAGGTACTGGTAGGAGCAAAGGTCATGTATCGGCACAAAGTGGGAGATCCAACTGTCATGGGGAAGGTGAAGCAGGCCAAGAGCTCACCGTGTGAAGACAAATTTCTAATTGAATCAACAGGCGATTGGCTGCTTTGCCCACTGTGGGCTTTCAGTTGGCTGAGGCCACGAGCAACGTGAGTCTGAGCCAAGCAGAGCAAACCCTCCAATAAAACATCAGAGAGCTACATTTGTTCCATCGCTGAGCAGCCCTTAAAAGGCAAATAGACTTGAATCTCCAAAGTTTTTGCTGACACGAATGGAAGTAAAAATCACCAGCTTATAACAATAGCAACATTGAGCTAAAGAAAATTAAATAGGAAGTTTGGAGTTTAAAAAATGCATACCTTGGCATGATGTAAATCTACCCCATACATGGATAGTTTTTTGGCATTTTCCAAGAAATGCATCTCTGCTTCTGCTGGCGTCATTCCTCTGATAAGGAAGAAAAAGCATTACAAGGCTGCTCTGCTTCCACCTGGTGGGGCTGTGACATTTCCCACTGAGCTCCCTGACTATCTACTAAGCAAGTCCCCATAGAGGCACCAGCACACTGGTGCTCTGAGGGGGGGAAAGGACAAAAAAGGAAAACAGCTTTTAAAGAAAACATCACAAACAGCCCTTCTGAGTGAGCATGTAACTATCCCAGAACTGTACCAAGCACTGAACCCCACTCTGCTTAAGTCCCATCCATAATGCACTCCAATCACTCCTGGACTAGTGGGTAGTACAAGGGATGCCCAGCCGTCCAGGCACAACTTAAATGGAACATTCCCAGGGTCTCTGCCGCGAACCTGTGGCTCTTGTGCAGCTCGATCACTTTGTCTTCCAGCTCTTTCGTGTGGTTTGGTGCAAAGCGGAACTCACTAATGTAATCGTTCCCACATTCATCGGGGTCATAGTCTCCAAGTTCTGACTGGACAGTGTAGGAGCCCAACAGGGCGAGGGTGACAAAGGAGCAGGGTAGCCTCCCAGACACGATGTCATCTCGCAATTGTAAGCAGAGGTAGTACCTTCGGGAGTCAAAAGGACAAAGCAAAAAGCCAGCATGAGGATCCATGAAAAGGAGACCACTCAGTACAAACTGTGCTGTGTGCAACTTCTCCCTGTCAAATCGTGTCACTAGGACAAAGTTTCTTGCATCTGTATTTTGTCTAGATATAAGGGGAAAATACTTGGCTACAAAATACAATATTTAAGAGTATCTAAAGACAAGTCAGTGTTCATTATAAAACAGGGTTTTATTAATAAAGTGTAGAGTAAAAGAAATCTAAAAACATATTCCTCTAACATCTTTTAAAATAATGTTTAAAGTCAAATGAATAGTCCCCAACACACTCCCTAAAATCTCCTGTTGGGGGAATTAGAACATAAAAACAGTGCTCTTAAATATAATTATTAGGTCCCAACTAGCTGTAAGGAAGCTTCATTTTGATATCCAGATGAAAGGTTTGGCAGCTTGAACAAGACAAATGTCAGGTAACATGACAGCCATGCCACTGTAAACTCTGCTCTCCATGTCCCACATGCCTGATGAGATGGTCTCTCTATAATAATGAATCATTTCTGTTTCAAGTTCTCAGTTTTTTTTAAGATAACTTCTTAGAATCCAACTGATATGAAGACTGATTTTGAAGAATTATTACCTTAAAATCTGAGAATCTCACCACTATCAGTAAACAATTTTAAGTTGGGGAAATATACAACATTTCTCTCATAATTTTGCCATATCATACAAATATCTCCACTAATAGCTGACTTCTGCTCCGTTTTTGTTCTTAAGATTCACAGAGATAATTCGAGCTGCAGAAGACTCCACGCTAAGTGCTCACACTGCAGAGCTTTACTGACACCCTTCACAGCCCAGCACACGGGCACAGCAACAAAACACTCCGTGTACCTTTCATACAAGAAACGGACTGTTAACCTGTTGAAGCTGAGGACTAAAACGAAGTCTTAAGGTCCCCTCTAAATGTGATTTTAAGCTCATGATATAGTTAAACTCTATGCAATCCAGATACAGAAATTCCTACCCATTTCAAAGGCTCTACAAACATTGCACAAAGAGAGTGAAAGGGACCATGCACTAAACTGCAAACCCAGGCACACAGGCTCTGTAACCACAAACTAGCCACGATTAAACAGTTCTTCAAAATTACTAAAAAGCATCTTTAAATAAGAAATTATAAATTTTGATTTAGTGCAAATATAAAAGTAATCCTCTGGGACTAGTTTTTTACCCTTCTCCTAATATGTCCGGTGAAATTACTTTTAAACACAGCAGGTGACTGAAACTCTGAAAAGCCTTGCCCAAGAAGGATGTGAGGCTTACACAGCAAACTGAGCGCACAGTGCACAACATCCCCTGGCCGGCTATAAACTTACTACCAGACACAGCGAGAGGCATGCGTCCCAGGGCAGAAGGCAGGGAAGCCGGGAGGACACATCCTCCCCAAGACAGCTTCATAACGAGATCCTTCACGCTCAAAGCTCAGTCACCATGCCACAATACTTTCTTCGATTCCTTTCTTAATGTCTTCTTTCCCAAACATGAATTAATCTACGTAGGGCACGGAAAGTAGACTCTTACATGGATATGTGTTTATGTGTATCTCTATGTGCACACGCACGTGTGCGTGATTTTTTAAAATAGCTGTCATGTATCAGATTGGTTATATAAAAGGTATAAGTCTCCAAAGACCCATTTTTACTCTAAGTTTTGAGGCAGGAGTGCTGAGAATCGTTGTGTCATTTAAGGCTGAATTCCATAAAATCTGGCTGTGGAGGGCGGCTGACAGCGTCTCAATTCCGCATGTTTCCCCCCAGGGTCAGGCAGAGGGAAGTATTAGCTTAGCAACAAAGACGCAGCTGTGAACAGAGACGATCTGGCCATCTTCTCATCAGAGGTTTGCTCTTGTTCAGCTGCCTCCGTGTGCCATCTCAGGGTGGATGACCGTAAGGTTACTAGATGTCAACACCTCTTCTCTGGAGAACTTAAGAGAAGCACAACTCTCCCAATATGCCTGCCTCTTTCACAGCCAACTTTCAAATACCTGGTGATATCTTCAGATAGCTGGGCAGGGTCTGGCGGGTAAAATTTCACATTAAATGAAAAGTGCCAAGCACCATCTGCAGACATAAGAGAAAAATTAGAATAAAACCTTAGAAAATCCCTTTATACTTACTATTCTAATCAATAGCTAGAACTGTCTTAACTCCAAGTACTAACACCCAGGCAACTTTTGATCATTAATGGAAAACAGGGAAGTCTCCGTTAAATGAAATCCACAGAGAAGCTGAAAATTCATCTAGTTTCTAACCATCTCCCCAGTCAAATCCTTTACTGGAGCTTCTTTTGTTTTGTTTTTTTTTTTTTTGAGAAAGATTAGCCCTGAGCTTACTGCTGCCAATCCTCCTCTTTTTGCTGAGGAAGACTGGCCCTGAGCTAACATCCGTGCTCATCTTCCTCCACTTTATACATGGGACGCCTACCACAGCACGGCGCGCCAAGTGGTGCCATGTCCGCACCCGGGATACGAACTGGTGAACCCCAGGCCACCGAGAAGCGGAACATGAGAACTTAACCACTGCGCCACTGGGTCGGCCCCTGGAGCTTCTAACTAGCAAGGAAATTGACTAAACCTCCTCCCTTTCTCAGGGACAAACTTCCGCACTTTCCCAGAGAGGAAAAAAGTGAAGGATACTCAACACAATTCTCAATCCTCAATCAGACAAGTCTGGAAACGACTGGATCTACTGCCATGAAGTTCCAGATGGCTCACATACCAACATTTACAGACATATCCCATCTCCTTTGTCCTTTCTGCTTTGTAATTACAGGTCAAACCCCATTACAACACATGTCAAGATAGTTTTATTTTATGGGAAAGGTCTGTTGGAGTGACTAAGAAGTGAGCTGCTCTATGGGCTGCTGAAAACTCTTTTTTTACTTGGGGAAATTTCTGAATAGAGAGATACTTGAATGTATTTACTGCGCATTATCAAATCCACACCTTACTAGCCCATGATGAGGATGGGTCCTCTTTACACGCTGCCATTCTTCATCCTGTGGCACCTACTTACAGTTGCTCTAGCAGGCACCTACTCTCTGACTGTCCACACGGACACTTGAAACATTATTAAGCCTTACTAAGCTCTCCATTTTATTAATACTACCTGTAATTGTGTATGGTTTTTATCATTATAAACAAGAAAAAACAATCTTTTCTTCTTTTCTACCTTGACTCTCTCCACAGGATCCCTCCTTTAACTTGTATTCATCTTGAGCTTTTCTTCTGGCCTTTGAACGCAGCAGTTTACTGAGGTCTGTGTGTGCCCTCTATGGGACAATGTATATTTCCTCCCTCCACCCAGCAGCCACGCTGAAGCACCACAGCATAGCCCTGCCTGTATTCTGAATGGGCCGCTGAGAAAGTCCCCCAGTCTCCCCAGCTTCTGTGTTGGAAGCCTGTCATCTGTGCTGCACCCTGCAGCCATGGTCTTCCTTTCACTCTGTGCCTCTGTGGCCTCACGGTCCAGCCATCAGGCTTCAAACATCTCCTAAGACTTCCAAAGGCTCTCTTCTCCCCATTATAGACTTCCGGAAACTCCCTTTTCTCCATGAGCCCTTCCCAGACATTCAGAAAAAAGGCACAGTACTCTAAGTCCTTCCCAGCTCCTTTCTTTGCATTATTTCCTTGCCTATGTGGCAAATACTTAGCTGCACAGGCTATCTATATTTCTGTCATAAATGGCATAGTGCATTTATCGATTCTAGTTCATTCTTGACACCACCATTCATATTACACTTAAAAGTTCCACATGGCAGGGGCCTACCTGAGGTGCCTTATAAAGGACTTGGCATAGGGTCACGTGTTATTGGGTACTTAATATCATTTTTAAACTGCTCATAAAATACTACTGAAACATGGGCTTTAAGAATTATAAGCCATAAAATATCTGTCAATCAAATACACTTCTAGTGATTATTTTCCCCACTGTTCTCAAAAAAAGTCTTTTGTTATTCTAAAAAGAGTCTGATTTGGTTTTCCTTTCCTATTGATTCCTATGACTTTCTGCTAAAATGGAGCCCCTCCAATGCTCGCCAAAGGCGAGGTTCGTCAGTGAGTGCTGGCTTCCCCCCAAGCAAGTGTAATTAAAACTAACGGGTTAGTTAAGGGCAATGCACTTACTGCTCCTCTATAATTTTTATCCACTTTAAAGTATGCCTTGAATCTAACGACTAGTTTATCAATGTAATTAAACAATCTCATAATAAATTCAGGGTAAAGACGCTAAGTTGGAAACTAAGAAGTAATAAAAGTATAAGAAAGATATTTCAATACAAAAATCCTCATTCTGGGAAAGTGAGTTTCAAACTATACTGGGCCTAAGAAGCATCTGAGTTGCTTGTTAAAAGCCCTCCCAGAGATTTTTATTCCAGAGATTTGGAATATGGTCTAGGAACCTATGGTTTTAATAAACCACCTTGTGGATCTAACACAATGGGACCACACTTTGAAAATCACTAATCCTAAGGAATCTACTTTCCTAAAGTTACAACCCAAATAACCACAACGTTTTACAGGACATTATTTTGCAACGGTGGGAAAGTTTAAGGAAATTACAATCTATACCATAATCAAGAAAAAACATCCAGTTAAATAAGGCATACAACTTGAAATTAACAAGAGAGGCAGATTAAAGCTCAAATACAGATCCCTGTAAAGAATCTGGTCGAAACAAATCAACCAGGAGGATGCGATCGCACAGAACGGGCTTGCGAGCTTGTATCTGCTCAGGTGATGGCCCCTTAGAAAAGGGAACCAAAACAGCTTGAATGCATTAAAACGATATTCCTGTAATGTTGATATAGGATTTTAAATCACAAATTTATGATAAATAGAAAATTGTGAAACTGAAGAGAGCTCATTCTTATGAAAAATTCTAGTTTTATTCTCCTATACCTGCTAAATCTTAAAATTTCTATATATACTCCATCTATAGCAAAAAACTACTATATATCATAAAATACAGTATTAGAAATTTTAAGATCTGGTATGCATAAAAGATGACTACAACTAGAATTTTTTCATAAGCACAAACTCTTCAGTTTCACAATTTTCTACTTCTCATATATTTGTGACTTACGATGTTTATCAGCTTGACTGCCATTCTCTTGAAGAGCTCATTCTACAGAGACATACGGGCCTGCAGCCTAAAAGGGACAGACACATCCTCCTGTTGTTTATATTTAGGACGAGGAGTGACATACAATAATTACATTAGGCGTGATACTACTTCTCTGCCTTGGTAGAAGGTACACTTTGCGGACATTTTGGTGCATGGGAAACAGTAAGGAATACAGATAAAAATACCAAATTGCATTTTTAAAAGATTCCAATTTTCCTCGTCTCCTCCTATACCGTATCCGCAAGATTGTGACTCAGTTTTCTGTATGTTGCAGTGACAACACTGCCAATCAGCGTGATAAAAATAATCCTTCACATCCCATGCTCTGATCGTCCCCTGAGCATTCTTCTCTTAGGAAGCTGGGAGACAGCATAAATGGGAAGTTCAGGACAAAAAAGAATTCCACTAACAACAGACAAGAAAATCGTCTATACAGTCTTTCTTGTAACAGTATTATGACTTATCCTTGAACATTTGATATATTTTCAAAGTGCTTTTCAATTATAAATCACCCAAGTACAAAACAGCATTTTACCAATTAGATGAATACAGAGAACTTCATGCACACAAAATGTTATGATCTATACTCAGTATATCTGCTTTCAACGACTCCATGGAAAGATTCTCTGAACATATCCACCATCTTCTACTTTGTATAGGGCTCTCCGGGGCCAAAGGAAGGGGCGTTTTCACTTATCACAACTGTGGCTGTCTGTGATTTCAATCCCAATTTATTTCTGTCAAACTACTTAATTATCAAGTTTCTGGTTAGTGAATACACCAAATTTCTTTCAAAAATATGGGAAAGATGCTTTAGTTGTATAATCAGCAGACTCTCTAATATCTCGAAATATGGTGACTTTTTTTTCCTCTTTTGAGATATTATCTAGTATTAAACCATTTCAAACTGCTCACTACTAATTATATTAGTTCTTGATGTCTTTTGATATCTCAGCACATTCAAAGGCAATAGAAAGATCTGCTCTCTCTTTTAATAGTAAACTGTTGAAAACTTTAATGGGAATGATGTTATTAACAAACTGGTCTTAAATTTATTCTTTAACTAGAATTAGTTGTTCAGGAAAATTAATCTAGATTTTACTGATAAAAAAATGAATGACTTAAAAAAATTAACTATTTAGTTAAAACTATACAGATTATCCACGTTTATGGTAAAAGCAAGAGCTACAGAAAGGACGGAAGCCAAACTAAAACGTTCCCCCTCAGCCCCTACAGTGCAGCGCCACCGCTGGAGGTGGTTACTGTGCACATTGTCCGTGCTCTGCCAACAGCTTCCACACCTGTACGTGCATAACTTTTTACAAACAACATGACTTGTTTGTCTCACTAATGAGAGGAAAGACATATTTATTCCACCTCCTTGTATTTAATAGCTGCCTAGTGTTTCAAGGTATGGCTAGTCCATGAGTGATGTAACCATCTCTCTATAAACAGATATTTCAGTTGCTTCTAGTTTTCTGCTATTGCAAATACTCTTATAATGAACTTTCACACATGTACATACACGCACATTTTCTTCTCTTATACAAACTGGATAAATTTCTGCAAGTAAAATTAGGGGTCAAAGAATAAAAACATTTTAAATTTTAATAAATACTGACACCAAGTATCTTCTTAAAGGGTTGTACCAATTTATACTTCTACCAGTTGTGTACATAACTGCCAGTGCAAGGTATTACTAAACTTTTTAAATCTTTGCTGGGTGAGAAATGTCTCACTTTAACTTGCAGGTAATTGTTAGTAAGATTTAGCACCATGTCTAGTACTTAGCTGCTTCAATTCAATTTTGTGAGTTGCTCATGCAACTGTTTTGTCCGTTAGGAAATATGCATTTCCTAACTTGCCTTTAGGGACCAAGAAAAGAGCCTGTCACCAGACAGTACACCTCAGTCTGAGTGGTTATTCCACTTCTAAACTATTAAACAACTATTATTTTTAGCTCCAGTTTTACACTTTTGTGGCAGTTAGGCTTAATATAACGCTAATAATTAAGTTTGGAACTTTTAAATGATTGTCAACTGGAGCACCCCTTGATTAAATCATATTTCACGTCTGTGTGCGGGCAGGGGGAAGGTCAAATGCCATAGTCCTTTTATTCCCAAGTTGTGATGATTAAAAATGGGTATCTGAGTTAGACCAACCTGCCAAAGACAAAATTTGAGATCTTAATCTCTTTCAAAAAACTGTATTCACACTAGCCATGAGGATATGGGCTACCAATCCAGACAACCCTACTCTCTGAATCTTCACATCTCCATATAGAATAACCCAAAAGAACTTACTTCGAATCTGTTTTTTGATTTCCTTAGCAGGGTCCAACCAATTCTGAAAAGGAAACGATAGATGCATTTGAATCAGAGAAGAATAAAAACGACTTAGTGTTGATCAGGGAGAGACATGCACTGTTATATCTGAGAGTGAGCGGCTGCTGCAAGGCCCTCCAAGCTGGGTCCTTCCCCCACATCTGCTGCCCCTTCACCAGGTCCTGCGAGGGCCCAGGCTCTGGTCTCATGAGAAAACGTGTGTGTGCACCATTCATGCCTAACAAAATTCTTTTCTTTTACATTGCCTTCAGGGATTCAAGCTAGCACAGAAACACAGGAGGAAAAGATGGTGGATTCTACGTTCACACAAGTTACTAGAATAAACTAAAGGCACACGTAACCTGACAGAGCGATGTCCTAGCCATCCAGTCTCACACAGTGGTTGCAGGGGTTAGTGAGACAAAGCCCTGCAGAGACTGCATCGCTCAGGTGTCAGGGTCCACAGGGGTATGACACGGAACACTAAACACCTACTGACAGACTAGACAAAGCGTCAGCTCAGCAAATGAGCCATCTCATATTCCGACTCGGCAAGAACAGGAAAGCACAATAAGATGTATTAAGAATAGGACAGCAAACAGGGAACGTTTTCTATATAAGTATCAATGCATTTGATTTTCAGTGGCTCACATCCACTGAAATATATCATCCTCCAAAAGCACCAAATAAAATGCTTTCCTGGAACCATAAATAACTCAGGCATGAAAAACAAACAGTGACTTACTATTTTCAGGTTATTGAAGATTAAAGAAGTTGTCAACAATTTCCTTCATGCAGAGACAAGGTGAGTAACAGCATTTAGAGACTCAGAGTAGTAAATGTGGAGTGTGAGGGAAGGTGGAGAAAATGACTTTGCCATCAGTTTTAGTTTACCTTCTTGCAGGAATGAGCAGTTCACAGCATAATATCTTGTATTGCTTTTTTTTTTTCTTTTTTTGAGGAAGAAGCCCTGAGCTAACATCCGCTGCCAATCCTCCTCTTTTTGCTGAGGAAGACTGGCCCTGAGCTCACATCTTGTGCCGATCTTCCTCCACTTTATATGTAGGAGGCCTGCCACAGCATGGCTTGCCAAGCGGTGTCATGTCCGCACGTGGGATCTGAACTAGTGAACCCTGGGACCCCAAAGTGGACCGTGCGAACTTAACCACTGCACCACTGGGCTGGCCCCTTGTACTGCTTTTAATCACTCACCTTCTGGTTTTCAGCATCTCGATATGTAAGCCCAAAGTAATCTTTTTCTAGCAAGTTCAGATGTTCACATACTTTATCAAACAGCACTTGGCCTCTGGAGCGTTTCTGTGGAAAACAAATCAGAAAAGCAACTTAACACACACAAAAAAGTTGTATCAATTGCCATGAATAAAAATGGGCAAAATTTAAAATATTGCTTGCAGGCTGGCCCCGTGGCTGAGTGGTTAAGTTCGTGCACTCTGCTTCAGCAGCCCAGGGTTTTGTTGGTTCAGATCCTGGGCAAGGACATGGCGCCGCTCATCAGGCCACACTGAGGCAGCATCCCACATGCCACAACTGGAAGCAACTGCAACTAAGATATACAACTATGTAGGAGGGGGGATTTGGGGAGATAAAGCAGAAAAAAGATTGGCAACAGTTGTTAGCTCAGGTGCCAATCTTAAAAATAAATAAATAAATAAAATAAAATATTGCTCCAAAAGACCCTGAATTGCTAAAGCAATCCTGAGAAAGAAGAACAAAGCTGGAGGCATCACAATCCCTGACTTCAAAACATACTACAAAGCCACAGTAATCAAAACAGCATGGTACTGGTACAAAAACAGATGCATAGATCAATGGAACAGAATTGAAAGCCCAGAAATAAAACCACACATCTATGGACAGCTAATCTTTGACAAAGGAGCTGAGGGCATACAATGGAGGAAAGAAAGTCTCTTCAACAAATGGTTCTGGGAAAACTGGACAGCCACATGTAAAAGAATGAAAATCAACCATTCTTTTTCACCATTTACTAAAATAAACTCAAAATGGATCAAAGACCTAAAGATTAGGCCTGAAACAGTAAGTCTGCTAGAAGAGAATATTGGCAGCACACTCTTTGACATCAGCTTCAAAAGAATTTTTTCGGACACCATAACCCCTCACATAAGGGAAACAATAGAAAGGATACACAAATGGGACTTCATCAGGCTAAAGAGCTTCTTCAAGGCAAGGGAAAACAGGATTGAAACAAAAAAACAGCCCACTAAGTGGGAAAAAATATTCACAAGTTATTTACCCGACAAAGGGTTAATCTCCATAATATACAAAGAACTCACACAACTCAACAATAAAAAATCAAATAACCCAATTACGAAATGGGCAGGGGACATGAACAGACATTTCTCCAAAGAAGATATACGGATGGCCAATAGACACATGAAAAGGTGCTCATCATCACTAATCATCAGGGAAATGCAAATCAAAACTACACTAAGATATCACCTTATACCTGTTAGAATGGCAAAAATATCCAAAACCAAGAGTGACAAATGTTGGAGAGGCTGTGGAGAAAAGGGAACCCTCATACACTGTTGGTGGGAATGCAAACTGGTGCAGCCACTATGGAAAACAGTATGGAGATTCCTCAAAAAGTTAAGAATAGAAATACCTTATGACCCAGCCATCCCACTACTGGGTATATATCCTAAGAACCTGAAATCAGCAATTCCAAAAGTTCCATGCACCCCTATCTTCATTGCAGCATTATTCACAATAGCCAAGTCATGGAACCAACCTAAGTGCCCAGCAACTGATGATTGGATAAAGAAGTTGTGGTATATTTATACAATGGAATACTACTCAGCCATAAAAAAGGACAAAGTTGCCCCATTCACAACAACATGGATAGACCTTGAGAGTATTATGTTGAGTGAAATAAGCCAGACAGAGAAAGACGAACTCGGCATGACTCCACTCATAGGTGGTAGTTAACATATGGACAAAGAGAACTGATCGGTGGTTGCCAGGGGAAAGGGGGGTGGGGGGAGGGCACTAGGGGTGAAGTGGTGTACCTACAACATGACTAATAATAATGTACAACTGTAATTTCACAAGGATGTTAACTTTCATAACCTTAATAAAAAAATAAAATAAATAAAAAAAATAAAATATTGCTCGCTGTAACTGTTCAATAAGCGATACTCAAGCATGAACACTTGGCCATCTCCATGTTAACTAGTAAAAAGGCTCAATAAAGCAGACCTAAACCAACAGAAGTAGCTGGGGAAATGATATGGTGCTTGGAAGCCTCACATATCTTGTGAAATATAATATCCTGACAGTGAAAGGAATATTAAAGGACCAACACAAGCCATGTTTCAGAAGGCCCAGACTCAATTGCCCACATTATCAGATTCTGAGCCTGGGAAGAACTAATCCTATTCCTTGTCTTAGACATCCCCTTAAAACGCTCTATACCAGTCCTCACCTAGAAATTCAGCTGCAGATCACTTTATAAAGCCAGTTAAACTAGCTACGTTAGTTTATTTTTCCCACAAATTTTAGTTTTGTATTATAGTGTTCAACTTTCTCTTAATTTCTTTTAGAGAAAATCCATCCTATTAAACAGAACAAAATGTTCATTAAGTTTAAAGATTTAGTTATCATTTATAAATATAAGTTACAGATGTATGTGCTATATTTTTGGCCATAAAACAGTGATTAGGAGAAGGAAAAAGGTAGTCTTCCGGGGAAAAAATCCATCAACTGAATTTACTGCGTTCTCCGATCCCTCAAAGGTCTCTCAAGGTGGCCTGAGTGAGACGCTTTAACTGGCAACAATTAAGCTAAACTAATTTCTGTTTGTGTAGTACCAACACTTCATATCTAATATATTAAGCCTATTTGTCTTTAAAATTTAATAATAATAATGAGAAATATGAAAAACTGATAAACATTGTGCATATCAAAATAGTAAGTATTTGCAAGACTTGTAAGTGGGGTGTATTACTGTGCAACCATAATCAGATTGGAGATTAATCACTCAGTCCTCGAAAGCATGACGGTTTAGGAAAAAAGATCAATATACAATAGAGAAGTAAAGCTGAATTGCAGCTAGCTAAATCAACCATGTATTTAAAAAAAGTTTAATGTATGAAAATAAATTACATGTTAGCAAAGCTACATAATAACATTGCTCAATGGATATGAATAAATGGTGTGACAAGGAAATGCTGCTCTATGGTTTACATCTTTTGCATATAAATAATAGCATGTTATTTCTAAATAATGCTTAACAAATGATAAAGTTTTAAAAAAAATTGGTTCTTCCAGTGCTTCTACTGATGTTATCTTCAGTTTACAGACAGGAACAGAGGGGTTCAGAGAAGTTAAGATGAGAGAGGCAGTATCACATAATGGCTATGTGCAGTGGCTTTAGCAGATAAACCTGGGTTTGAATCTTCACTATGTCCCTTGCAGCTAAGTGAGCCTCTCTGTTTTTCCCTCTGTAAAATGGGTATGATATCACCTAATTCTTTGCAATGGATGACATTAAAATAAAACAAAGTATTCAAACCTATCCAGTGATGGCATATGTCAAGCATTCCGCAAACGTCAGCTGTTATAGCTCAAGTAACTGCCAAATGGCAGGATACGTAACATAGAACTTATACATTTTTGCTGTAGGAGCATGTATACAGCCCCTTGTGGTGCTAACACACGGCTTTAGTATTAACATGTCCTGCTCTTTCTTTACATATCAATTACCTGCTTACTACCTAGTACCTTTAGCTAGATCATAATATTTACACAACCCACACAAATACACATCAGTGTCTGGCCAAGTACTTTCTCAATGAGCGAAAATAAAAAACAAAACAAATACAAATAAACACTTTTCTTCACAAAGCCTCCTATATCCTTTAATCCAGCAGGCCACAGCCAGCCCCTCAGTGGAGGAACTGTTTGGGACTATGCCGCAGGCTGCCTTGGGTGTTGTTTTCACTAGCTGTCTTCTGGCTGCTGTGTCCTTCTGTCTAACAGCTGGCGTGGAGTAGCTCAAGCAGAGACCACTATACTAACTGGCTCTTAGTTTTCTGGCTTCTCACATTCTGATTTCTATTAATGACTCATAACTCTCTCTTGAATAGACCAGATTTTTTCTTACTAAATATTTCAAATATATTGTGAACACTATAAACAGTCCTTAAGACAATTACATAGTGGGCCATTCTTCACACTGGAGATTTCTTTTTTGGTCCTAAGAACCAAGATCAGTTGTCTAGAATATACTATAGATGGATATATGGAAACAATGAAATCCCCACCTGCTCAGCATCACCACAGCCACCAGCTGGATGACACTGGAAAAGTCTTTTAAATTATTTGGGCTTCATTTTCTCACCCCTGAGTGAGGATTTAAGACTGTATGGAGCAAGGCGATCACGGGCTCAAGGCTGTAACGGGGCCCCCTTTGCTCATGGCAAAATTACTAATGTGTAATCACATACATACATACGTAATGTCTATCACACACACGCATACGTAATGTGTAATGCTGTAGTGCATGCTTTCCCACGGAGCCCAGATGTGGCTTCAGCACCTCTTCACCCTGTGATGAGAAAGACACTGCCAATGGATGGAGGTGGGACGGGACACGGAGCTGAGACTATTTTCCAGCCCTGGAAGAGATCCCTCTGCAATCACTGCCAGCTCCTAGAAAGTCCTGAGTCTTCTAACTCAGATGGTTTTTTATTCTAGCACATTATTTAGCTTTTCAAGTTAATTATTTCTACTTGTTGATATCTGTGTGTATCTTTAGGTAAATAGATCTAAATTTAGGTAAAAGACCAAAGCTCAACAATCAGACTGGAACTTTTAGAGACTTTATGTTAAATACTTGGTTCTCAAAGACATGATATTCAATAAGTGATCAATTCTAGATACCCTACTGTCAGTGGCTGTGTTTATATACAGCCATAAAGAGTTAAGAATCGAATAGATTAAAACAACTCTGAGAGAAATATTCCAAATCAGTGGATGGTTTACCTCAGCAGAGAAGAGTAACAGTTCTTAGTCTTGTCTGCTGTCTTGTGAGTTGTTTAGTCATGTCTCTGACTCAGGCCTTTGAGCTCATGGAAGCATTCAGTACCATCACCTGAACACCCAAGAAGCTGGTTCTGATCTCCTAGAGCAACAAACCAACGATGGAGTGCCCTCTTCCTTCAACCAAAAAATTGCATTTCTGTTTCTAACAGAGTAAACAGAAACATTACAGCCCAACAATCTGAAAGACTTTATATATCCTGAGATTGGTACATCCCCAAGCAATGTAAACAACT